TGCGTTCTTTTTAAGTTAGCAGAGCGTCACAAACACGCCCGGATGTCAAGTCAGCACGTTAACATATGGCACATGATTATCGTTTTAATTATCGACGAGATGAATAATGCAACTTCTCTCATTCGCCCAGGTCCAGGTTAGCATAATTGAATTATTCTATTGATCAAGTTCGAATCTTATCATTAATCCGACTTCTTTTTGAAATATGTTGACTTCTCATATTGCAAATTAATTAATTCCAGTTTCTGAATTGGCAATAAATATGGATAGTCAAAATCTTAAGACATTGCATAAATTAGATAAGTTACATACTCTGTCCACCAAAAAATCAAATAGAAGTAACTTGTTTGTTGGTCTCCTTTAGGTATATGATATCTTTTTTAGACGCCAACCAATTTAAAGCATTTCTTTTAAAAATAAGCTTAAAATTCCACAATGCAAAAGTAAGCCGTAATCTCCCGGGCAGAGTTAATCAAATGCCTCCAATTCCTCGCTCAATTCTGCATCTCGTCAATCACAATCATCGTCTGAAACTTCTTCTTGCAAAATAATTTAATATTTGATTAAGTGTTTAATCACACGTCTTCGCCAGATGTCACCTTTGACAAATACAATCCTCGAGGACTCTTCAATTTCTTGTCTTCGGGGCCTTGATCAGGCTTTGAGCTTTGTCGTGGTAAATTCCTGATCAATCAGAGCCTTAATGCGATTTTGCATTGGATGGTCTCGCGGCTGCTTCAGTTGCCTACTTTTTCTGACTCGCTGCACTTTGCCAAATTTCAATTTCAATCATAAACCCAACACGAAATAGACGCACTGCAAAAGGATTGTACGTCACGTTGGCTATTCATATCAGAAGTTAGAGATTAGAAACCGTGTTTATGTCATCATTATGGATATACTTTTACACATACAGCGATTTAAGCTGGTTATTCAACGACAGGGAACTCGCCATGAATAATAACACTTGTCAAGCGCTGTGTCATAATTCTCGATTCATTAATTTCTTAATACGCTTTTCCAAGGCAAGATCTTCCGGGCTGCCAAGCACATACGGGGTCACTGACGACAAATTACTTTGCTTAGGCCAAGCCAAATTAACTACTGTGTCACTTCGCTGTTGTCCTATCATGTCCTTCTATCTACTACGGTGGTCTTAGCAAACCATCAAGGAAATGTAAAATAAAAAGACAACGGCATTAAAGACAGCATCTATAAGTTTGAAAAGCACGATCAGCAACACCTAGCCTGTTTAAAGAGAAAAAAAGTCCAATCCATCTATCCCTTCGTTGGCTTTTTTTTTTTTTTTTTTGTAAAAAGATAAACATCACTTTAAGGACGTTGTTCTGTTTTCTACGGATTAAAAATTGAAAAGGATGTGAAAGTTGTTATTGATATCAATGTGAGGAAATATTTTTGAGATTGATTTTCGCAACCACGTCAGTTGATCTCAGCCGGACACTTACCTCACTTTTGTATTACTAGTTCTGCATGTAATTAGGCATAAGTTAGTTTAAAAAAAACAATAAGATAAATAAATAAATAAATAAATAAATAAATAAATAAATAAATACGTGAATCGTGCTCTTATTTGTTCCGGTATTTCTATTTCATTCTTAGTACTAAAACCTGTATAATTTTCACACTTTTTGGGTGTCATCAACATGAGTGTGCTAAAATTTCAAGGGGTAATCGAAAAGTTAACGTTAATCAAAACATGGTGTCTTGAAGCGCTGCCATAAAGTTTCTCGCCTGTTAAACAACCGATTGATGTGGGATAGCCCCTCCTCCTGGGCCCAAGCTCCTCAAAACGGCTTTACTTGTATTGATCTCACAATTCACTAAATGGGATTAGATATAAAACTGCATTCGGTGCCGCGTTGATCAGTATCAAACGCGATTTGCTCAGAGATACAGGAAAATAATCAGAAGATTATGTTTTGATTGGTCGAGCTGAAGGAATTAACAAGCCATCCTTGCAACTTTTCGAGAACGCTCTTGGTCTGGCCTATGTCTTTTAAAACTTTTAGCGTCAGTATCTACATGCGAAAGTTGGTAACCTGGATATAAGTTTTAAAAGTTTTTTGACATAGTGTCAGGAGCAATTATTGAGACTTGGATTACTGAACTTCCACTTAAATAAGGCCATAAAGGGAAAAGTAGAGCGCACGGACGATTTTGTATACAGAGTTATTTCTAGTGTTCAAAAAAGGGGATTATTTTCTGAATACAAACATCTCAAAAGACCAGTGGTGCGTCAGCTTTTTTCATTACACCTATTGCTAGTCATGTCAGGAGAAGGTGGGCAAGATTGTCCCTTCCCACTTTTAGATGGGCAGCATTGTCCAGTTTTATCAACAGGTGATGGTGGTGATCTGCACCTGGAGGATGACGGCCACTTCCCAAGGAAAAGACAACATATTGATTGTGTCAATGATGATTACGATGACCACGTAGTCTCCGCTGATCATATTCTTGAGGACGTTTGCCAAAGTGACGACAGTGCCTCTTCAAAATCTTCCAAGAAAGAGAACGAGGACCAGATTGATGTTGAAGACCAAGAAGCCCAGACTAGAGAGAATGGCGGCAATTTTAAGATGAAGACACCAAGGAAGGGGAAGGAGCAAAAGTATATACGATTAAGTATAAACGCACGTGAGCGACGGCGCATGCATGATCTCAATGATGCATTAGATGAGCTACGATCAGTCATACCTTATGCTCACGGGCCATCAGTTCGAAAATTGTCCAAGATTGCTACGTTACTGTTGGCTAAAAACTACATACTGATGCAAGCCAACGCTTTGGAGGAAATGCGTCGAATGCTGATCTTTCTAAATCAAACGCCACCGCCGTTCCCGACGTTGACGTACGACACGTACTTGCCATACGGCACGTCGCACGCTCAAATGTCCACCACTCGCCGAACGTCACCGCCAAAGACTGAGATAAGCCGTTCGGGAAAACTGGTTTTCTCTGGACCATCATCAAAATCATAACCTAACGAACTTGGAAATACACTCTATTATAGAGCATGGTCCGTGCACATTAACGCAAGCCAGGCGAAAATGGTAAAGGATGTGCGTTATCTTCGGGATAGCTATATATTTTGCCTACTTCTGTATTTTTGTCATGATAGTTTAATAATCAGAATTATGTTAATATGTAACAAGGCTTTAATTTCAGTAGCAGCTATAATTTGGCCGTTTTCCATATATATATATATATATATATATATATATTATATATATATATATATATATGGGTAGACAATAGCCCTTGCCCACNGGCTTTAGTAATTTTCTAACTGTCATGATATAAGTAGGAAGAAATAGTTTTCAGTAAGAACAAAGTTACCCTAACCTTAGAATTTGCACAATTATTTTATGTGATAGATATAAAGATATTTTAATTTTTTATTAGAAGAATACATATTTTCAAAGTCTTACTAAATGTTACCATTATTAAGACATCCATTCATAAGCTTTTCTGTTAGGAAATATCATCGCACCTGACGTCAACCCAATTTGGTTAACTTGGACGTAAGAGGTATGAAGTAATTTTTTAAGTTGCATATTCTGAGCTCAGTTATACTATATAGTTCTATTCGATTTTAACGCAGTAAGATCTTATTTCTGTATCCAGTTTACTTATATAAAATAGCTCCAGGGACGCCGTTTATGTTCCCGAAATGTGATAAATGTAGATAAGGCTCCACGTTTTGGTAGAAAAGAGATCGATATATCTAATATGTTTTGGTGTATTCTTAAACAAGACACAGATGTAAATTCCACTTACATTTAGCTTATTGTCTTCTCTGTTTCTTGTCTTGTGTTTCTTAAACCGACACTAACTGGGAGGTAATTATGTTACGCACAGTAAGTCTTTTTCTAAATCTATTCGCGCGGGCAAAAAATATATGTACAAAATCCTTAGTATTTACGATGGCGCATGTAATTGAACTAATTAATATCGATATTGCACTTTATAATTTTACAAAAAAAGTCTAGCCTTACTAAAAGTATACCCATTTGTTCATTTGAATAAGAAAGAAGCCAAAAATACATGGTTTAACTGTTATAATGAAGACGTTCAAGTCCCATTCGTGGACAATTATGATTCACTTTCCCTTCGATTTCGGTGCTAAGAAGCATAGTTGCAGATCTGATCAAATTTACTGGTCTAATCCCTGAGGGATATTGGATTGAGATGGAATAACAAATCGAATCTCAGTTAAAAGTTACCCTGCTTTAAAAACGTCGCTTCTTGTTGTTTGAATGCACTAATGTAATTTTCCCCGAAGTGCTTTTTTTGTCTCTGTTTCGAAGTCTAGCTCGGACATCGTATGGGAACAACTGTCGTGGATTGTGCTTGTCGATACTTATTGCTTTACTATATTTTCTTCTACATCTGAAAATGATCTTTACGATGATAAATGAGGGGCCTAATTGGGTTTTGCTGCATTAGTCTTTATGCAATATTCAAAATTGTAGAATTGATTCCAAGTTTGATGTGCGTTATTCAAAATGCTACGTTCCTATGATTCAGACAAGGGCGTTTGGGATTACTTTTAATTGAACTGTATAAAACTGATTAATGATGCGTATGAATTTCTTCAGTCGGTCTTTCGTAAATAGAACAGTGCTTCAAGAGGCAGAACTTGATGTTGACTTGATACCCTTAGGACCTCTCTTCAAAGCAAACATCAAATTATCATGTCCCAAATGGATCCGATGAAAAAGGGATTGCTGCAAAAGTCACATTTCATGGCCAATTACTCTCTCTCTCTCTCTCTCTCTCTCTCTCTCCCTCACACACACACACACACACACACACACACACATTTGTGCCTGGTTCTCGCTTTGCTAACTATGAGTAAAAAATAATTTTCTATAGAACTTACAGTTAAAGAAAATATAAAAGCGCCAAGACGCTTTTTTTTCACTGTAAAAAATCCATCAATCACTACTTATTCTTTCTTTCAAAACACAAAATTGAAATTGTTGAAATAGTAATTTTAATACAATTATCAATTTAAAAAAAATGGATTGAACTTTACATATGTTGATCCACTCGCATATACATAAGATAAAACAATGGATATAAAGCGCAGCACGCAAATACTTATGTTTGACGAATAAAATATGTTTAAGAAGGATCCATTTTCACATGACTAACCAAACAATGTAACAGTGCACAAGATTATAAGCATGAACACATGCAAAGTACCCATAAAGTTGTTTTTAGTCAGTGAATGGTTGCAAGGCATTACGCTTTGCGTCCCAGACCATCACGTTTCATCTGTGTTTTCCGTATGCTCATGTTCATTGTCGTTGTCATCATCGTCGTCGTCATCATCAACGTCGTCTGTTACTTTCCCTGCCATTACCCTTAAACAATACAAATAATATGGATATAAAAGTATTTAAATTGATAAATTTTACTTTTGATAAAATTGATTTGACGAATTATAATGAAATTACATTATCCATTAATGCAACCTTAATATAAAGGGGCACGTGTAGGGTACCTGTATGTGCTAAAAATTAATTACATTAATCCTGAGACCAAACGACTATGTCTTTCTTAAACTAATCGTTTTCCAAACATACATACTGTGTCAAAAACTTGACGCAGTCGGCGTTTCCGTTCACTTCCGCTATCGTGAGCGGAGTTTCGCCACTAGCGTTCTTTTTCCACACAGAAACTCCGGCCATGTGAAGAGCCCGGAGGGCGTGCACTTTCCCAGACTCGGCTGCACAGTGGGCTGGGGTCCAACGCCCAGCCATACGGGCAGTCCCCTTAGCTTTGTGTTCCAGCAAAAGGCGTATTATATCTGCGGAGCCTGAATTAATTACAGATTCTAAAACTAAGGCATGTTTGTACTATTGTCTAACGCGTTTCTTTAGCACGTTTCTGAGAATCTGTCATAAGAATGGTACATTTTCTTCTGGAATTTTTTGCACTAAATCAAAGCAAATCACACATTTTCTTGAATTGACCACATTCTTTCTTTTTTCAATTCTCCATATTTTGTTAATTAGTAAGCTTTCATCTTTTACACAATAAAACACAACGATTTTAAGAGTAGGCCTAAGCCAAAATTTACTCTATTATTTGAGGACAGTCACATCATTACCTTTTGAGCATGCCCAGTGAAGGGGAGTTTTGAATTTCCACTCAACGTCCTTAAGATTAACATCAACCTTGCCACTGTTTAGCAATTCTTCCACAGCATCATAGTCTCCAGCAGCGACTGCTTCGTGAAGCTCTAGACCAGCCATCCTTCAAAGCCACGATTTACCAACCTAAAAAATAGGTCTATCAAAACTAAAAAAATTAAGAAGAAAATCAGCTGTTGCCATCTGTAATCCTCCTATCTACATGTACTAATAAACGAACAGCTGATAGATTTTTAAAATTTTACAATAGTACATGTATATACCAAATATAGTAAGTAAAGCTTTGCAATAAGTTCTTGTGTCAAGAAATTACACATTTTACCTGTGCAAATAACTGACTTAACAGAGCAGTGTGCAAAATAAAAGATCGCGCATATCATTTAAGTTGGGATTTAGGATTTCAGGATGTTGTTAAACATCAAAATCTTTTGATGAAAAAATGGCTAAATAATTTATCTTTGATGTAAACATGAAGCGTATCTAATATTTAAATCAGGCAAATGTCCACAGCCTCATAGTTGGCCTATGATTGTAGCTGGTGTGACAATGAACACGTTCACTAACACTGCTGTCTCAAGTATAAACATATCACCAAAAGGAGCTGAGACTGAGTTTTCACCCAGGCCACTGCAGCACAGTGGAATGCTGTCTTACAGTAGACAGAGTGATAGTATATACTATGCATATTATATCAGGAAAAAACGCAATGAATGAATGGCTATATAGTTACATTATTCCTACTGGTAGGCTATGCGCCCCTTGCACTAAGTACTGAGTGGTCAAGTAGCAGTAATACTAGCTACTACTAGTAATACTGTAATTGAGTCTCTTGTGCTCTTATTATTATCTACTAGTTATAATTTGTCATCGATAACCCAGTACTGCACATAAACTAACCGTGAAAACTTACAATAAAGATTACTAGGTGACTTAATATAACGATCTACCAATAGGGTAGGCCCCTACAACTTTGACATGTAAGACCAATAGGCCTATTCTGAGCACCTAGGGGCCAAACAGTTTTAATTGTGGTACCCTGTACAAACCTCGTCTTCTAAATCTCTGCGATTGCAGACATTTCACGGTTCTTTGATTTCCTGAAGCAGGATTATCTTACTGACAATTCGACCTCAGACCTTGCAAGCGAATTCCACAACTATCACTGACTTAGTATAATGATCTATAATGGCTACGCAGTTGCTTAGTACTTGTAAACAATGACTGACCTACTTCCAACCGGCTGTGTTAGTTGAGGGTTGAGACCAATACATGTATATTTAATTATCAAGCAAGTCTTTGGGTTATGCTCCCTTAATACCTTTTAAATGACAGATATGTATCCTATCCGACATGTTCAAACTATAAATATACATGTAATTTATTTTGAAAACAAATGGATTTTGTCTACTCACGAATCATTGCTCGATTAATCCCTGTAATTGGATTCAATGCTTGAATAAAAATAAACATTAAATATACTAAAATAACATTGTAATTGAATAATAAATGTTACCCGAAGACCGCCACGTCTTCCTGTACATTGCAGGATGAAAAAAATCAAACGTCTTCCTTTTTTTTAGGTTATAGGTCTACATATCGTACGTACCCTTTTTCCTAAAATATCGATATTCTCTATTATTCCAATTGTGGTGTTGTACAGTATAGGCTTATAGGTTCATTTGAAAAATGAAGTTAAAGATATATTTGCGAATTCCATTTTTTTCTAAAACACTAGTGACAGGAAGTGATAAATCAAGCTTTTTGTGAACAACATGTAAACATTTCATGCTAATATTGACAGTTTTTGTATTCAGTAAGAAAGTTTCAGTATTGAAATATTTTAAAATATATACTGTAGATTCTAGAATGTGGCTACCGACAGTAACAAAGGTTTAAATTTTTAAAGCTTTTTTGTGCAAGAACAGGTAAATTTAGTAATTAATTTTTTCGGTGATTAAAGTTGCTAATTGGTGTACATGTACTACATTTGTAGTAAATAAAATTCCACTTGGACTTGCAATTCTTCCGCACGATTACTTTTAATAAAATAAACATACAATGTTAAATGGATCTATATAATGAGAACCAGTTTGTAAAGAATTTCTCGGAAGATAGGCCTACATGTAGGCCTAGCTTTGATTCAATTTACCTCATAAATGTTTATTGATTTAGGAAATGATTTCACATTTTCCTAGAAACGTTATAATCTGCATAAAACTCTTATTCTTAGAAAAAGAAGATCTTGAGAAATTTCTTTCTTTGTTTGATTTTGATTTATTGATTTTGATTTATTTAGGCAAAAAATTTTATGTTGAGATCTAACGATTCTTTTGTTATGTATGTAGGCCCACCTGTAGGTCTATGCTATATAATACCTGTATGTCTATTTTTAATTATGGTCAATATTTTTATATTATTAAAATAAGATTCAGTTCCGCTGAATGCACAGGCATAGTTGAAGATTGAAAAAAAAAAAACTTTTAGATATTTATGGAAACATATGCATTCGCACGGATAGGCCCTACAAGTAAAAAAGTTTTCTGAAGAATGAGAACAATTTGAAATCAAATTTTAATACGTCGGCTCGTTGGTCTAGGGGTATGATTCTCGCTTAGGGTGCGAGAGGTCCCGGGTTCAACTTCCGGACGAGCCCTTCCTTTTCGATCTCTCTCTCTTTTTATTTCTGCTTGTAAGCCGTCGAACTCGAACAAAGGCAGAGGCATATGCGCCCTATTTTCGTCTACCAATGAAACGTTTCTCTGCACATTACTGCGAGACTGCACAACAACAATCATGGCGGAAGATGGTAAGAATTCAAAATAATGAACTTACTTATTTTCGGATTGCAGAAGTTCCCATTGACAGAAAACCTTGAAGGGCTGTCTAACAGTTGACTGTAAATGTGTAAGATGTTACAAATAAGTCAACCTATGTTAAAGTTGTGATTGTGTGAATAATATAATCCGGTTGTGAGGTAAACTAAAGCAAAGGTGTGTTTTCTTGAGACTGTCATTTGTCATACAATTGTTTAGCCGGATGAGTCACATTGATGCATAGCAACATTTGGTGTTACGTTAATACTGATCTATTTGGTTTTACAGATAATAATAAAATGTCCATTAAACACCCATCTTAAGTTTTTCGCCGTTAATTTGTTGGCAATGCTGGTAGTTCAAATATGAATATTGGGTCATTATGTCTGAAAAATCTTTATATTGGCCAAACTGAAGAGCAGTAATATTTGTGTTGGTGGCAGTAATTGCTCACTGATTGTCTAGACTTGCTCTTTCTGGATAGGGTTTGTTTCTGTTTCTGAGCTGTTACTTTGAGGTTCACACTCTCCTCCCATCCCCATCATAGAAAAACACATGCACGCCACCATGCACACAGCCATGCACACAGGCACACAAAGACACACACACAAACACACACACATACACACAGAGTTTTAGTTTAACAATGTCACCGCTGTGTAGTAAGCTTAGAGCGCATCCAGAACAGCAGACTAACAGATCTGCCGATCAAATATGCCAACCCACTAAAAAGCGTGCCACTTAATTCCCGATTGTACACTGAGCAGATTCCCTGCGGGGATTATGTAACAAGCACATTAAGTGGGTTGGCCATATTTGATCTGCAGATCTGTTAGTCCACTGTTATGAATGCAGTCTTAAAGTGAATGTTTTTTTTTAGGTGTGCCTAAGAAAAGGAAAGCCAAGAAAAAGCCTGTGGTAGAGAATGGACTGGATGAGGCTGATGGGGCAGGTAAGTGCATTATTGATAAAATACTTTTCAGCAATTCTGCAATGACAAATTAATCAAAATATGTCATAATATCCACAGTTCTTTTATTATTTTGATGCAATTCACAATTCAGACATTTGAATAACTTTTTTTCTTCCTTTCATTTGCAGCCCCAACAAATGTCAGGGGGCAGACCAAAGCAAAATTCAACCAGCTTCTACAACAGGCCATGTCAGAAAACAAAAAGTGAGTAATGGCAGGGGAAAAAAGCCTTAATAGAGACTGATTTGCCAAAAAAAAAAATATCTGTAATAAGTAAAGAGTTAGTGTAGGTGGGTTATTTCTAATATAAGAATGTGACATGTAGTTCTTTAAATTTAATGTATATATATTTTTTCTAGTGCAAAATCTGGGAAGAAAAAGAAGGCACAAGAGTCTATGGCGGTAAGTACTGAAATTCTGTTAACCCACTGAAGTTAAGAGCTTTCACATTCTTTTGCACTTCAGTTGAGTTGTGTTTATGTCTGTGTAGGGTGTGATTTTTCTTAAAAATTTGATTATATTTTCGTGATAATATGTCAGATTAAAGGGATAATAACTCTTCGTATGAGATCTATATTTCACAATAAAAACCTTGTGAATAACTCATAGAAATATGATATATTCTGTTTTACCACAAAAACAGCAGTTATAGCTTTTATTCTGATATTTGAACTTGTCTTTAGACCACGTGACCTCCATTGATGCCTATACTCTGTTAAAATCTCTTAAGAGATTTTAACAAAAAACTAAACTTTTTAGAAAAAAAACAGGGACTTACTTTGAATGTAAAAATGGATTCATTAACCATTGGTAAGTATGGGAAAAATGTTGTTTACTCCAGGAAAATTCATTTTTTGGCCGAAACGAAGAGTTATTATTGCTTTAAAAAAGTTTTACAGGAGTTTAAGAATAGATGCACTAAATTTATGTTTTTCTTTTTAGCTTAAAACCTTAAAACAGGGTGAAGCATTTAGAAAAGATGGAGAGGATGAATCCATCTTGGCCAATACATATGATCCAGATGACCATCCAAAAAGCACCAAAAGCAACAAGAGGAGACAGAGAATGATGGAGAGATCAGGTACCACTTTGGTGTACACTTGTTTACTCTGTGCCTGGGTAAATGGGGACTTAGTGATATCAAGATTAAAGATCATTGACAATTAAGTATGATAAATTTGTCAATTGTCTTTACCTTTGAAAATGGTTCAGTATGCATTATTATTTTTATGGAACATATTGCGTCCCAAGCATATGTTCAGTTTAGAAAGGGGAAATTTTTTTATGATGCACTTTTGTTTTAAAGTAATTATTTCAAATACGTCATTTCCGTCCATCTCTTGGGAACGTTTCACTGTCTTAAACTGTCTTTATGTTTGTAATCAGACAAACACAGCTGTCACTGTATATAAGTTTTTTCAGCTACTGGTATCATAAGTATAAGGCTTCCAGATTGCATCCATGTAGGTCAACTTATAGCTCATACTGCAGACCCATTATTCTTATCATATAAGTCACCAACATTGTTACCAACTTGTGTGTAACTATATATACTAGCTGCCCAGGTAGCAAACTCAACTGTAGGGTAATGCTGTCTTAGCTCACTCCTCAACTTCACACTGTGGCCACAAGTGGAAGCTATGCCATTCTAGCAAACTGCTCCTCTACTATTCAGCTCTCCAGCCTACACACACCAACTCCCAACTCACAAGCGAAGGTGTCCTAGTATAGTTGACTAGTGAGTAGTACTCTAGTAAAGGCTCTGATTATAAGCAGTTACACTAAATGTTGGGAAACACATGACATGTGACATGTGAAAACACATGATTTCTATTGGGCACATATTGTTGCACAGTATTATTGTTTACACAATATTATTTAGGAACAGAAAACCCTGCATATGAAGAGGAAACGGAAACACCAAGGAGAATTAAGAACAAAAAGAACAAAAATTCAGAGGATGTTGACAGGTATTGTCAAGAATATGTGCATATTTTTACTTCTTCATGCAGTTTAACTTGCATTTAATTGAAATCACCTTTTATTTAATAACAAGTTAAAGAAGTTTGAGCATCAAAGTCAATCAGTCACATTATCATGATCAGTCACATTACTCACTTTATTCCAATATCAAAAAAAACTACACCTTATATGGCTCCAGGAATTTTACTAGTATATTTCTTGTCATAGAACCATGACAATATCAGAATTGGCCCCACCTCCTTCCGCTGGAAAGAAGAAGAAAAAGAAGAGGACTCCCAGGCCATCGGAGGATGAGGATGCACAAGAGGTGGGTTCATCTTGTTTGATTTGAATTCATAGTAATATCCGAGTACAATAATATGGACTTATTAGTCAGAAATTTTTTTAAAAAAATTGATATTTTGATTCTTTTTGTATTTTTCCTTACTGTTAGTTCACCTTTTTCCTGAAAATATTTTTACAAAGATAAAAAAAGTTAAAGAATATTAGAGGAGTCATGTGCTCAAATGTTTATATTGTGCTTGTATATTGAAGTTAAAAATATATGGTTGCTATGTACTGTGATCTTATGGTTAGGGCTAAGAAAGTATATTATAGTTCATTCATTAATATGGTTTTCAAAGTAATATAATTTGTATTATCTATAGGCAGAGGCGGAGATGTTAGAAGAAGCTCCAGATGTAAAGCCAATAACTTCAGAGAAAAAGGCCAAGAAGACTAAAAAGAAAAAGAAAGGTAAATGCTTTTGCTGTTTAAATGTAGTGTTTACCCAGTACTTGAAGTTTCAATCAACAGTAACCTTTTTCTCTGTCGTTGGTGAAAAAACAATGATTCATGGCATATATCATAGGTAATTAAAATAGTTATTCTGATTTTTTGAAGATGCTGAGCAAACAGAAGAAGGAGCAGAAGTCCTCCCTGAGGACACAACAGTCATGGAGCCAGTGCCAGCCAGAAATATAGAAGATGATGGCAGAGTTCTTGGCATAACTGTGCACAGGACAGATAAATTAAAGACAGACTTTTTTATTGCTCATCCACTGGTTAGGATACATATTGTAGATGCAGCTACGGGATCACATGTAAAGAAACAACACAGGTATTATAGGTTTTAACATTTCATGTTTTATTGGAGCAATTTTAGTAGGAAGAAATAGTACTAGTATTGAAAATAGATAATTTCTTAATTTTCCAATGTCACAGATTTAATAGTTGACATGGATTTGAAATAATGCTTTTAGATGTTTTCATACTAGCATGCATAGCATCAATCTGCTTTGCCTCTTATATCGGGAAAATGCTTAGATAAAATGACACTATCTGATTCACTCTGTTTTGTACAGTGGATATTTATATTAGCTTGACTATACAGTGTGCTTGATATATTTCAGAGATCGTGCAGTAACCTGGTATTATGAAAGAAAGGTAGACGGTTTAGACTACATCCTCCCAGTGCTCACACAGCCATATGACTTCAAGAAACAAAAGTAAGCTGTTTCAATGTTTGTTGAATTAAAAAAAAACAAAGTTCTGTGTATAGGATGTAGGTTCTCTTAGGGTATTGTGAACTTTATATGTGTTCAAGTGAACACTGCATAGATAAAGTTAATCTTGTACAATGGTGCTTTAGGCTTTGAAAACTGTCCGAGTCCTTATGTTGCTCAAATATATTTATAATTTTTTTTTAGATCTACTCTTCCCATGTGGGAAGAACTGGTGATCTTCAATGAAAACTACAATTACTTTCTACAGCAGGATCCAAAGGTCATGATATTTTTTGAGGTAAAATCCATATTTTGAAATTTGCCAAATTTTCTTTTTCCAAAGTAATCTGTCTTCAGCATTTATCGATTATTTTATATTCTGGTTTGAATCTAGGTTAAATTAACTTTTAGCATTTAAGGGAAATGCTACCTGTGTATTAATTCATTGAAATATTTCCTTTTTCACCAGATTTTAGATTTTATTAGCATGAATGCTGCCAGGCAAAAATACAACGTAGCTAAGCAGGAGGGTGGCTGGCATAGGGTTGCATGGGCTTTTCTTAAGGTATGAAGTACATTCTCTTATATAAAATTTAATATAGAATTCATGGCCAAGAGAGAAACTTCATCCGTATTCATAACACTCTACTGAAGAGAGAAAAAAGAAATGGTGCAAATTGATACCATAAAAATGTTTTGATCCTTGCATAAGAGAACTAACAACATGTTGTCAATACAACTATGTGATGAGACTTTTGTGAATAATACTGTTCCTTGGAGCATTTATAAAAGTATCCTAGGCTGTGACAATATACATTTTGTATGTGATCACAGCACATTAATTACATGGCAATTTTTATATGGTGTTTATACTTGTTTCAGGTGCTAGGTTCTAATGGCCATTTTAACACAGACAAAAAACTAAGATTACAGTTATTTCAACCACCATTCAAGTTTAAAGCAAAACCAGGCGTGGTAGATGTAAGTTGGTTTTGTTTTAAGGCATGCAATGTGCATCTTACCTTTTATATTAAAAAGATTAATTTTCCCAGAAATTTCAATAATTTCCGCATAATAAACAACTTAGGGAGCATTCCCAGACCCTATTGTACAAACTGTGGTTCGATCTATCTCCAAGGGGATTCTCGCTAAATTGCAATCAACTTAAATGGCTTAGATGTCTGTCATGCCTACTGAAGCTGCTAGGTGGTAATTAATTATCGTTTAGCAGCTTCAGTGAGCATGCCAAACATCTAAGTCGCTTAAGCTGAAAGCAATTTAGTGAGAAACCCCTTGGAGATAGATTGATCCTGTTAGATTGATCAGGTATGGGAACCCAGTCTTAAATTACATCCAAAACTGTTGAGAAATGTACAATCTGTAAACTTGTTATTGAGATTCAAATTTTTATTATTAACATTACAAATAAATTCTCCGTGATCTCCATTTATGATAGTGACACAACAAGAAACTAATTTAGCAAGCCAGTAAGTCTACTACCTACCCAAAGCTTTGGGTAGGCACCAGTGTTTTTATTAAACAAAATTAAACACTCCACTTAAACATGTTAATATCTGTTATATGTCACATTATAGGTATACCAGTGGTGGCTAGAACTACCACGTGTACACTATCCGTCCACTTTGTATGTCACAGTGAAAGGAATCAGGCCTCCTAACCCAGATGAGATAGAGCCTGCAGGCAGGTCTATGTTTGCTACACAGAAGGTATGTCGAGTGTGTTTCTCGGCACATGTACTTGTTTTGAATAAACACAATAGATATCTGAAAGACTCTCTGCTCATATTTTGTCAGATATTTTCATAACTGAAGGAAGGTATCTACTGATAGTTCAATTGAATTGCATATATATCAAAAGTCAAGCTTAGTTATTATAATTCGTTTTTTTATGTACAGACACAGATGTGTCTGTACATATTGCCATCACCTGCGTCTGTCGTCGCCGTCGTCGCCGATGGCGATGCCGATGCCGATGCCGATGCCGTGCACTTTCCTTGTAAACACGATAAGGCCACACTTTTTTATTTTTATGGATGACATCCTCTGGGTACCCCAAAATCGGTGCGAGAGGGCGAAAAAAAAAAAAACAGTCCAAAAAAAAAAAACTGCTTAAGTAAAGGAATGCTGTCAGTACACAGCTGGAAACACAAATTTAACCACAGAAACACGTATCAAACTAACAATATGTCTTTATCCATGCTCTCAAAATATTAAAGCATTGTGAATACTTCGTAGAAATGTAAAAAAANTTTATAAACCGTTAATTTACTGCAGCTTAGTTTGTGTAGCTAGACATAGAGCAACCAATGTCTGTACAAATACATATTGATAACTGAATATTAATTCAGGGAAACTTTCAAACATATTAAACTGTACAATTACAAAAGAGTGCTATTGAAAAACAGCCATTATAGCCAATCCATATTGTCTTCTGTGTGCAGAGATGAGGATAAGAAGACTCCAAGCACATGGAGCAGGCTTGCTGGTCAAGCTTGCAAAGTTCCCAACAACCTCAACCTAACTCTGCCCACTGGGAGACAGGGGTGTTTTGTATTAAAGTTCTCTCCTGATGGAAGGAAGTTAGCGTGTGGGTGCCATGATAAATCCACATATCCTATTCTAGTGTATGAGGTAGGCTGTGACAGTGGACATTTTAACTAACACCATTTTAGAAGAAACGATTAACATCTGTTAGTCTGTACAGTTTGACAAGGCAAAGCGATCTATTTTTGGTGTGAGAATGCAATGGTAATGGTCTAACTGTTAGGATTTTTATTAATTCATTTTATCAACATTATTATTATTATTATTATTATTTGTACTTTGAAGAACTGCAGCAATTGGGTTTATTGTGGTCAATTCCTTCTGTATGTTACGATGTCCTCTCTGGTTTACTTTTCCAGATACCATCTGGACAGCTAAAGGGTCAGTTTCTGGGTCACTACAGCATCATATATGATTTGTGTTGGACCAAAGATAGCAAGAGCTTACTATCAGCTTCTTCAGATGCTACAGCAAGGTTAGTTTATGGGTATTTAGTTAATCTTTTTTTTTTTTCATTTGTAAAACTAATTTTGATTGAGATGATAAAAATATTAAGCCTCTGCATGTAGATTTGTCCTGTTTTTCTTTCTTAATGCCGTTATGTTTAAGTGACCATTCAAATACAAATATAAAGCTTTGTGTTTCCAAGTAATTGTTTTAGTGTTAGAAGTACATCACTCAGATTTGTACTTTGAACAACTACAGTAACTTTGTACTTTGAACAACTACAGCAACTACAGCATATACTCATACTTGGTCTGTTACTTGTAACATTTCAGGATATGGAACATTCAGAAGTTTGGTAGCCTGTCGGAGAAATTGCTTCCACACCCAGCCTTTGTGTACACCGCCCAGTTCCACCCCAGGGTGCCTACAGTAGTGGTTACAGGAGGATATGACAAACTTATCAGAATATGGAACACTGACATGCAGGGACACCATGCAGAGGTATGATACATATTCGTAGTTGTTGTACACATGTGCAGTTGCTGTGTACATATGTGTAGATGAGTGAAAAACATAGGCAGAGGCCATGGTGGATCTCTCACATATGCACATCATCATTTGGGTATCCTCTTGCTATATTTCCAAAATGAATTTCTGTTAGTTTTACTCTTTTCTGGCATATTTGTTTTCCTCTTGTCTTCAAAGTTCTGGTATATTATGTTTTGCTAGCCACAAATTAATATTATTAATTTCTTAGGTGTCCTTTGATTTAGTCACAGTAATCTTTTTCATGTGGAATTCAAAATAAGAAATAAGTATAGATTTCATGCCTTTTAAATGCTGTGCCCTTTAATTGCAGCTAGTTCAAGAGCTTGAGGGCCAGAAGGGGTTTATCAACACAATTTGCTTTGATGAGGATGGGCAGAAGATGTTTTCTGGGGACAGCATAGGGACACTTAGGGTGTGGAATGTATATGTCACTGAGATGCCCTCAAGAAAAGGTACATGTCCATTTGTTCCTGCATAGGGATGAACTTTTGGTATCCAAAGATAAATCTATTTTTATGTTTGATAACCATCTCATGTTTGTATATAGAATATTTTAGCCTTGTTAGTTGTAAATTCAGAACAAAAAGAAAGTTGTGATTTCTATAGTCTAAGAGTGGTTGTGAATGTCCAGCAGGAAAATCAAAGAATTGATGGGAATCGCTTTGAAGTAATTTGGATATTTGATTAAAATTCATTTAATGTAAACATTGTAAAAATAGTTTTCAGTCTGTTTTGATGTGTTGAAATTTTTTTCTAGGAGTTCTAAGGGACTGGAGTCTGTATAAGGAAATCAATGATGAGGAATATGAGGCAAGTTTTGTGCAAGGGCAGTAGACGTTTGTTCAGCCATTACCTAAAACACTGATACTAATGTGGCAGCAGATGTTCAGTTTAATACATTTTCCATCACCACATTTTCAAGAATTCAAGAAACGATCGAGATTGAATGTTTATTTGACTTTGAGTGAAGCCATAATGAATTCCTATCTTTGTAATTTAGCCTTTAAATCAATTCTCTAACCCAATATTTGTGTAGTATTTTAGACAATTACTTATCTAAATCATTGTTGAATTATGGTTCTATTTTAGGGTACACCCATTAATTATGTGACCATGCACCCAGGAGGTAGACGATTACTGGTTCACTGTAGAGATAACACAATAAGAATGATAGATCTCAGAATGTGAGTTTAGTATTTTTCATTCATTTAAATGTTACTGAAATAAAACATACTTTTGTGAAGTTTACATGTAAATTGCACTGTCAAGAATAATCTGATAAGACACATAGAAAGTTGAAGAGATCTTGATCTGAGCTAAAATTTTTTCTGATTTTTTTTTTTTTTTTGCATGAGCTCTTAAGAATGCTGATTTGTTTTTCTCCAGATTTGCTGTTATGCAGCGTTACATTGGTGCTTTAAATTTCCGGGAACAGATACGCAGCACAATCTCACAGTGTGGCACTTTTGTTGTATCTGGGAGTGAAGACTATGGGGCATATGTGTGGAATGCTGAGACGGGTATCAAACATCACACATATCTATTTTAGCAGGAATTTGCTTCTTTTGGATTTTAGCTGAAGCCTGAGAACATTTTACATTTTTTACATTCATACATGTATATCATGGTTTTGCAATTAAAAATAGTTCAATTATTCAAATTTTCAGAGCTATCAATGCATACAAAATTCACTGCAGACTAAAAACTTCAACTAGTATATGTTTCTTTTTCAGGAGATCAAGTTGCAATGTATACAGAGCTGAATTACAAGAAGCCTGTCACCTGTGTAGATTTCCACCCTCATGATAACATGGTGGCCTTTGCCTCATTTGGAGAAAACAATCCAGTGTTAATATACATCTATGACCACCAAGGTGAGACTGTTGTGAATGTGATTGTTTCAGTTTTTTTAGAGGGCACTTAAATGAATTAGGATAAGCCAGTAAAGTTATTTCATCATTGATACCAGTTTTAGATTTACAGTTATGTTTTCTCAACCATACTCTGTAAAGGATCTGAATATAGCCATCTAGGTCTCTTTTTGACATTCTATCCACCAACTCAGCTTCTTAATCACTGTTTCTTGATAGCATTGTGAAAATTTTCAGTCAAGTCAGTACTATTGTGTCCTTAAATTGGCATGAGCATTCACAATGAGCACCAAGTATAAAAGAAATTCCGTTTGAATCAGTTTGCTGAATATTGTCCACCAAAACTATTTTTAATGTACACTGTAGACTTAGGTCAACAACTAACAGGCCTACCCAACTACCAGACTCAGCACCTAAGGATCCTGAATTAATCCGTATATCGGACCACGCAACCCGTTTTCAAGGTGTGTGGCAGATCGCATTTCGGAGTATCATACACCAGAACAAATTTTGTATCACGACTGCGGGCTCATCCACGCTCGGCTGAACAACCTTAAACTGTACTCTTACTTTAGAGTACTCTATTTTATTGTCTCTATGGGGATATATGGGGACTTTACGACATTCGGTTTGAATGTTTTAACCAATTTGATAGGGCTTTTTTCCATTGTATTAGATTAATGTGGCAGTCTAAGGTGCATCTAGGTGGCTTTCAAATTTATGCACCCGGTTTTAAAATCATATAGCGATTTTACGACAATCGTTTACTATCCAATCAAGGTGACAGCTGAGCATGCCAGGGCTCATCCTGTCGGCGTTCTGGCTTATACTTAGAAATGCGATCTGACACACACCTTGAAAACGGGTAGTGTGGTCTGATATACCGGTTAATTCAGGATCCTTAGGTGCCGAGTCTGGTAGTTGGGTAGGCCTGACTAAGAAACCTTTTAGAAAAAGGGAGTTTTGATACCAATTACCTTGACTATTGTGACAGTGACAGAATTATAATTATAATTACAGTGGCCCAACTGGATGCAGACATTGGCACAGTGTTTGGGACCAAGTCTATGAGACCTAGATCACCCACAAGGGCTTCCACAATGAAAGAAACAGAATCTCAGGCAAAATTAAGGTAGCACTTAGAATTAAAACTGAACAATTTTGTCTTCAAAGTATAGCATTTGTGTAAACATATGAAAAAGATATTCGGATTATTCCAGCTTGCCTGTGTAGAAGGAAAAAAATGCTTGACTAATATTCTGTCTAGATTTTAATGTACTATATGTAAATACAATCTTTTGATTACATGGTACTGTAACTAAGAAATGCAGTATTTTATGAGCGATTACAATGTCACCATTGGGTTTAAGATAGCATGGTGCATTTAACTGGATTTCATGAAAATAGATGTAAATTTAGGGGTTGCTACCAGTATGACAGAAGAATGTAAAAGATGACAAATATATATATTACATAAGCTAATGGGATATAAATGCAATGGATTTCTCCTTCAGGGCTCATCAGGAATACCAGGTAGAAGACAGCTCCTTGCAGGGTACAGCAAGGCTGGAGAGAGTGAAGAAAAAACTAGAAGCAGTAACAGTAAGAGTGAATCCTATTATGTTTTAAACATATGACACACCTGATATACTTGAACCAGCATAAAGTAAGTAGACTAAGTACATGGTGTGATAACATTAGTAAGTATAAAATGAAGTCGCATCGTATTACTATAATAATGGATTACCTTTGAATTATATGGATTTTTAGTTTACTTAATTATAATTTTTGTTTTGAGTCTTGCATTTTGCCTTTCTTTTTTCCAGGCTTCTAAGAATGTAAAGGTGATTTTTTGTGACTTTTTTATGCCATTTGCTGTTATTTTTTCAGTTAACTTCATTTTTAAAGGGGTCATATTAAGAAGTTTGTACAAACTAACCTTTTTTATTTCACATAATATTGTACTTTAAATAGCACAAAACCATTGCTCTAAGCGTTTGGTTGATGTTTCCTGTTTCGTATACTTAATAAGATTTTCATGATAGCTGAGTTTAACAGTATTTCCCACACAAAAATTTTTATATACAGATACTGTAAGTGTCTGTATATATTCCGATTGGTCTGTCTGTCCTCTTCGTTGCTGTCGCCATCACTGTCGCCATTGCTGTCACTGTCCGACACATGACGTTCGCCCCCATAACTTTCAAACCATACTTTTGTTTTATTTTAAAATTGCCAATTGGCTTTGTTTGGTAAAGAAGCAGATTGCTTTCAAAAATCAGCATGATTGGTTTACATTTACGGTAATTATTCTGGTTTTTTGCACAATTTTAGTGACGTTCCCCCCATAACTGCCAAACCGTATTTTTGTTTTACTTTAAATTTATAGAGTGGCTTTGTTTGGTAAAGTGGTAGGTTGCTTTCAAAAATCGGCATGATCTGTTGACATTTATGGTAATTATTGTTTTTTTGCACAATTTTGGTGACGTTCACCCCATAACTTTCAAATTGTATATATATATTTTTTTACATTAAATTTACTGAGTAGCTTTGCTTGGTAAAGCGGTAGGTTGCTTTCAAAAGTCAGCATTATCAGTTCACATTTACGATACTTATTTTTTGTGTGAAATTTTCATTTTTCACACATTAGGATTTTCAGTGGCTTTTACATCACATGGAATTGAATCACTTGCTAGTTTTTCAATGTCCATGTTACCTGTAGTACATGATGTAATAGGGTAAGAGTGATTATGCTATTTTAAAGCATTATGTAACAGTGCATCAGAATTGGCCAAAACATTATTTTGTGCAGTTTTTTCTGTGAATGTCTGAACATTTGACAGCTTTGCTGCCTTGTTTCCTGTATGGTTCTGTATATTTGCCAGCTTTGCTGTCTAGTTGTGGCTTATTTCAATTTATGCAGTGGGTTTCACTAAACTATTGTGTTGACACATGGCCATATCTTAAAGAGTAAACTGTTGCTGAAATATATTTTTATACTCTTTTCCCAAAGGTGAATGAGCTTCAAATTTTCTTATCATTTAAAGCACCTTGTCATTTTTTTTATGAAACCAACTCTCTAATTAAAGGTATTTGGAGTACCTTTTAAGTGACTTTTAAACAACCTGGGAAGAAATTTTGCCATCATTTGATCAGATGAGCTGTGATGAGTGACTTTATGTTACAGTTTTTTTACATCTAATCTAGTTGAAGAGGTTAACATGACATGTTTATTATGAGGTCATTTATTTCAAATTTAATTGACAGTAATACATTAACTTTTTGAGATGTCCAATAAGTTACATCCACAGTTTTGAATGTTGCAACCCAGAATTTAAAGAGGAAAAAAAGAGAGAATGGACTACTTGCTTACATCTGTTGAAGTTTGTCAAAATAAAAAAAAATAATAATAAATAAATAAATAAATAAATAAATAAATAAATAATAATAATAATATGCATACATTCAAAGAAAAGTTCATAGTGGCAAATTTAATCCCCACATAGTCTACATGTTTATTTAGTTATTAATTATATATAGCATTTTGATTTCTTTGTTCCTCACATTATCAGGCATTCCAAGCTCCACTAAGGGCTCGTTCACCAGATAAGTTAATCCCTGGTCAAGTTCCGTCCACACCTGGTCAGACAGCCTTCATGGACAGCACATGGGGGCATACATTTGACCAGTCAACATATCTGAACTACATGCAAGCCATGACAGGGGTAAGTATTAAGTTCATAATAATTTGACTAAAGTGATATAAAATGGATTCCACTTGTTGCCACTTTGTGGAACTTTGCTGGTGTCAATTTTTTCCTTTCACAGCATTTAGGCTGTTATTTTCATAATATGTAATGTATAACTATATTCATTGATGACCCATCCTTATTTCAGAGTCCAGCTCCTCAAGCATTTTCCCCACATGCCACAACCAACCTGAGTGCCACCATGCAACAACAGCAGTTTGCGTCCCAGATGAAGTACCAAAGACAAGGCGGCACAGGATGGAGACCACAGTTTGGAGCAGGTTACATATGTCTTTGCTTTAAGAGAAACACAGACAGGCTGAATTTGCTCTAATTAGATTTATTATCCTATTTGTTGTATGGAGTACGTTTTTAGAATAAAATTCATTATTTTGGCAAAATGAGTGTAACACAGCTTTACCTTTTACTCATCTAACATTGATTTTTACATTTAATAGTAATCAGTGTTGTCTCTGTGAAAAAAAAAATAGACCACATCAAGACCTACTTTTTATGCTTGAAACCATGTATTTCTACCTTGCACTTTAGTTGGGCGCCAGGGTGCAATGCCTATTCCATATACAGGCAGGCCTCCACAGATTGCCCTCAATGCAGTGAGTAGCTCTTCTGTTGTACAGTTGTACAGTTTGTCAAGATAAATATATCTAAAAAGTGAAGTAAAATGTTCTGCTTGCATACACTGTGAACTCAGTTTGATATAGTTAGTTATCCCATTATAAGTAATTGAAAACCCCAATATGAATTCATTGTACATTTAAGTTTGTATAAATATGTATGTGTAGAGCAGTTTTTAGAAGTAGATTCATATTACTGTCTTTGGAGGTATTTTAAAGTGCAAGATGCTTTCACTGCAGTTATTCATGTTTTTGCAGACACAAGGAAAACCTCAGTTTTCATTTCAACCTCCTCCTACCACTAAGAATAAGACAGCTGTACAAAAGCAGGTATGTTACACTTGTTGAGTTAATATGATGTTTTATAAGAGAATATAGGTGGTATCCACAAGTAAAATAGATATTGTCTCCCCAACCCTTATATCTTAGACTGCGTTCAGAAAAACCATCTTACAAGCTGAATTGATCCAACTCTGCGGGGATTCTCTTAAAAGTGCATTCATTGTAATCAGCTTAATTTTCTGACTTGTCTCCTTGAGTGAAAGAGCTTCTGAGAGCCAAGCTCGCACGAAAGATAATTACCCCTTTCTGGTTGAGGAGGCTTGTCATACAATGAAGCTGATTACATCCACTGCCTGTACAAGAGAATCCCTGCAGAGTGGGATTGATCCAGTTAATACGATGAGTTTATCTGGAGGCTTCCATATAATCTCTGTTTTATGAGGCTTATATTTGGATTTGACTTGCAGAATTATCAAAGATACCAATATGAGTTTGGAAAAATAATTCTGTAATATTCATTATGCTGAAAGTCTCTACATAATATCAGAAAACCTAAGGCCATATATGGCCTTAAGTAATGTCTGATATTTTGGTTTGTTACCATTCATTGCAATTATGAGTGTATAAGCTGCTGACTGGTGGATGGGTGAACTGTTATTCTTTTATTTTGTTTTATTCTGTCAGTCTTATCAGTTGTTGCTGGTTCATTGATATATGATGACAATTTTAGGTCAAGGCACTGTATGACTATCAGGCGCAGAGGTCTGATGAGCTGTCGCTGGTGCGTGGTGACATTGTGACAGTGCTGTATAAGGACAGTGAGAACTGGTGGATGGGTGAACTGTTGGATGGACAGCAAGGATTTTTTCCCTCAAACTATGTGGCAGAAATAGGTAGGTTAAAATAATAATGCTTAACCTCTTATAGAAGTCCACCTGGATTTTTTAAGTCATGTCATTATATATATATATATATATATATATATATATATATATATAATGTGTGACTTTTTAAACAACAAATGTAGAGGGATTGAATCAATAGCAAAAAAGTGATTAATGTATCATTCAAATTAATGTCATATTGCAGGAGCAGTGGATGATGGAGATGAAGATGAGGAGGAATTGAATGCAATAGAGACAAAACCAAAGAAAGTAAGTGAGCCATTTTAATAGCAATCTACACATTCAGATGTATTCATTATATCTTTTTGTGTCAAAATTACACATTAGAAAATAAACACCCTAACAATGGTATTTAGAAAATTTACTAGTTATTTACAGTAGACAATATAGAAAACAAGAAACTTAAAATCCTAAAGTTATTAAATATATGCACCTTTTGATTAAATTAAAACTTGTTAATTTTATTCCAGACTACAGCTGTAAAGTCTGCCTCGGGAGACCTGAAATTTGTCTCAGAGACAGAGGACAGTGAGCAGGACACCCCTGGTGGGACACCAAAGAGGAAATCTGCTGCAAGGAGGAGGAGGAGGGATTCAATAGACAGATTACTTAAGAGTGTAGATGACAATGTAAAACCACCACTTAACAGAAAAGCAAGGACTAAAGTTAAAGATCCTGAAGAATCAAAAGCATAATCACAGCAGTAGGCTGGGTTATAATGAGACAGTATTCAAGCTCATTTTACAAAAGAAATGTTTTAACACTAAAAAGTTCCCAAATACACAGCTGTTCATAATTTATTTGTAGTTTCATTTGGGAATTCTTGTATACTACAATTTCAATCTCTTACAGAAATATTGTGCCAGTAGCTGATGATATTATTATATGGTCCCCTATGAAAAGATATGTATTTATTTTAGGTCTTGCGTCAAGTTTTTTTTTTTTTTTTTTAAATTTTGAAACTAGAATACAGCATTGCCAGTTATTCGGAGTGTTATATATGAAAAAATATTGTATATCATTTATAAATCACTCTGCATATTTGTTGTGGTTTGAAGTAGTTTTTGTTGGGGTACAAATTATTAACCTGTATGTGCTGTGGATTGTTATGGTGCTGTACTAACAGCTTCCAATTGTTTAAATGCTGGTCTTCAAATGTTTGAGCAGTAGTTACCCAACTTATAGAATAAATAATTTAATTTTATGATTAACCATTTTTGCCAAAATACTGGGCTATAAAAAAGACAAATACTCTTATAAATATTGTTCAATCTTAATGATTGGTCAGTACTTAGTATCTGCACTTAAAATTACCAGAAACACAGTAAAGTGTATCTATTTATTTCATAAATGTATGTGAAAAGCTCTTGATTTCTATCTTTGTTTGACGATTTGTAGATTTGTTTGAAAACGCTGTCAACACAGAGAAAAATAATATTAATATATATATCAAAATTTAGCATTAAATGCTACTACCTTGCTACTTGATTCTCAGTTCTGCCTTTTCTCTCCTTGACCCGAAGCCAAACACTGCATGGTAAAATTCTAAGGAAGTTTTTCTATAACTTATTAGACATGCCAGACAGAAGTGGCGTTCAATGTAAATTCTGGTACATGAACTTGTTCTAATTTTTAGTTTTTATTTTAATTTTACTTAGTGGGTTGTTTATTTTTTCAAGAAAACGTTGGCCCCAAGGTAATCTGTAGGCTAACTTACGGGACTTGTGTACTAGTAATTAAGTGTTTTGCTCTTTCTTGGGCAGTCGCGGTGAGATAACAATTTATATTCGGTTGAAGAATGAATTAAGAGCATATTAGTAGTAATAAAGTGTTTTGCTCTTTCTTGGACAGTCGCGGTGAGATAACAATTTATGTTCGGTTGAAGAATGAATTAAGAGCATATTAGTAGTATTGGTATTACGTACTATTTCAGTATTTGCGAATAAGTAACTAGGTGGTCCCTGGCACTTTGGCAGTGTAGAATGAAGAAACATCAAACATCACCCAGGATCCATTAATTTTCCCAAAACAATATATAAATTTGAATGTGTTACTGTGTTTCTTGTTAATTTCGCCGTTGGTTGAGAAAAAAGACCAACAAATCTCACAAACACGGAAGTGCAATATTCTATCACACCTATCGCAATCGACGCACAGACAGACACAGACATGTGTTGGTGCTTGTAAGGTAGAAGGTTGAGCGCTCTTTTTGTTGACATTAGCAGAATTACTGGTAATTATGGGAAAACTGAACGTGTCAATGCTGAGATATCTCTCCCGGGAGGACTTTCGTGTTTTGACAGCCGTAAGTAAATTGAAAATAAAAAGTCTTAAAGTAACACGTATTAGAACTTGGGGTACTTTTGTAGTATACCCCCCCACCCTGTAACTTCCTGAAACTTTCATTTTTCAAACATTTTTTTACATTGTCTTTTTCATCTATGTCAAAGCTGTTGAAATAAAATGTTTTTGTAATTACCTGTGGTCTTTTTATTAGTTTTAATCACGTTTAATCCACCCCATTGAAACACAGTGTGAAAATTTACAATGTACCCGCAGTCAATAACTTGCCGCGTTTTAGTTGGCTAACTCTACCTTATTTTATGTGAACATAGGATTGATACATTGTATACTTGGACTTCCTCTGTGAAATTATTATGAGCTACTTGTTCACATAAAATTACCTTAGAGTTAGCCAACGAAAACGCGGCAAGTTATTGACTGCGGGTGTAAATTGAAGATTCTAACATTGTATTTCANTTACTTGACACGATGGAGATAGGCTACAGTGAAAAGGTTAGTGTCAAGTTAGCTCTGAAGCTCAGGGTGCTGCAGGAAGACTAAGATGTCTACTGTATGTGAAGGCATTTACATGATTCACTATCATTTGGTCACTAAAATGCGCAGTACAGTGCAGTACTATAAACATCTACTCTAGACCGCTTTTCAGAATAACTCTGATTAAACCCAAGTCCCGATCTGGGTTTATTTGGACCAGAGCTAGGGTAGGTAGTCCGTTCACATAAGAAAAGTTAACCCTGATAGGACCTTGGTCAGGCCTAATTTGCAGTCAAAAGTGCCAATGTGAATGGGGTAGAAGTTTTTTTTAATTTGGATGAGCCGTATCTGATATGGTCTAGGTCATTTATAAATCTTACCTTTGCATGCAGGTTGAAATGGGTATGAAGAACCATGAAATTGTCCCCAGTGCTCTTGTAGCAGCTATTGCCAGTCTGAAGCATGGTGGAGTACACAAAGTGCTGAAAGAGCTGTCAAAACATAAACTGGTTGCCTTTGAAAGAGGGGGGAAGACAGGTTTGTACACTTCCTATATGCTCTTGAAAAAGTTGACTTCCTAAGAGAAATGACCTTTATGTTTGTTGCAGTAGCCACTTGTGAAAAAAGTAACTAACACATTTTAATTTTTTGATATTCTTTGAAGATTGATATTGAAAAGTTTGTCAAACACTGACTATATGATATAGGGACTATAACATACAGGTGACTTGTTATATTTTAATGGTATCTTGAATGTAGATCCACAAGCAAAATTTTAAAATCTAACTTCAAGTCATCTTTCTTCAGTTCAAGGTTATAGATTGACTAATGGTGGATATGACTACCTGGCACTGAAAGCGCTGTCATCTAGAGATGTTTTATCTTCTATTGGTAATCAGATAGGAGTAGGAAAAGAATCAGGTATTTACTTGAGCAATTTTCAAAACGGTTGTGTGTGTGCATCGCATCTAAAATTAATTCCGCCAGTGAGTGTTGTAGTAGTGTGGGCTCAAAAGTGTGAATAGCTTAATGAGGTGTACTATTGATGTTTTATGCATATCATAAATAAATAGCAAGTTAAATATTTCTGGCGCATATTTGCTATTAAACCATCAAAAAATGTTTCATGTTTTCAGAAATCATGAAATGCCATGTCGAATATTGAAAGTTATGTGTTTTTCCCTTTCAGATATTTACATTGTTGCTGGAATGGAAGAGGAGCAACTGGCACTAAAACTGCATAGATTAGGTCGCACCTCATTTAGGCAGCTTAAGTATAAGAGAGACTATCATAAACACAGAAAGACTGTGTCTTGGATATATCTTTCTAGACTGTCAGCAATGAAGGAGTTTGCTTATATGAAGGTATGCACCATTTGGAGTGAAGTTGCCAAAATTGGGTTACAAAATATGACCTAAATAATCATGCAATTTCTAAGTTTAAGTTTTATCTTTTAAACCTTTCATTGTTCGCAGAACGGTTTTCCCACAATTTTCTTTGTCCATAATATGAAAAAATAAAAATCTGTTTGTTGAACATAGCTAATTCATTATCTTTTTGTAGTTGAAATTGCAGCAGTTCAATCCAATGAAGAACATTAATGTTATAATTCCTTATGACATGCCCTTAACATTTGCTGTTTTCAAGGTTTTGTTTGATCACGGATTCCCTGTTCCAAAGCCTATTGATTTCAACAGACATGCAGTTGTTATGGAATTGCTGACTGGTCACCCACTGTAAGTCCATATTAACACTATGAAGTCACTGCTAAACATAGAGTTATTACTAACTGACCAGTTAAGTCAAAATAATTTCGTGCCATTAACCTTTTGAATGGTTTTAATGTTAGGTTTGGACTTAAATGTACTTAAATGGACTTAAATTAAATGTAGCCTTGAAAAAGAGATTGCCTTAAGCTTATAAATGTTATCATTTTTACTTTGCATGATGAAGTAGGTTGTGTCAGTGAGTTTCCTGATTAGTGTGAATATTTTCCTGTGCAATATTTCAGTTGTCAGGTCCATGAGGTGGCAGACCCAGCAGCAGTTTACAATGAGTGTATGGAGTTGATTGTACGTCTTGGAAACTGTGGCCTGATTCATGGAGACTTCAATGAGTTTAACCTTATGCTAGACGAGCAGGATAGAATTACTATGTATGATTTCCCACAAATGATTTCCACATCACATCCAAATGCAGAGTGGTAGGTAAAATTGAGGTTGTTTGATCAAGCATAAAAATTCCGGCTTTGGAAATGGCATTCATAAAAATTTTATATGCATGTCAGGTATTATGTAAGTTTGTTGTGATCTGTTTTCTATGTCAAACTAATTATTAGTAATGTTATGATTTCCTTATTACTTTTAGACATGTCCATCTTAAAATTTTGATTTTAGGTATTTCAACAGGGATGTTGAGTGTATAAGAACCTTTTTTGCAAAGAGATTTCACTATGAAAGTGAATTGCATCCAAAATTTTCAGATGTCAGGTAAGTCTAGAGCTCAGAACTATTGTACATGAAACAGTGATTAAGTGGTTGAAGCATGGGCAAAACTCACACGAATGTGTAGGTCAGTTAGCCCAGATATCTGTATCTTGTCTTTCTTTCTGTAGTCAAGACATCTGATATGTGGTTTTTATCCATGGATGTTTTGTTTTTGCTAATCAACAATTATAAGACTACAAATATTCTTTATTATATTGAGTATGTATATTTCATGCACTATCGTTTAAGGCGAGAAAGCACTCTGGATGTGGAAATTGCTGCCAGTGGCTTCACCAAGGAAATGGAACAGTCCTTTGATGAGGTGTGGATAGATATATTTAAGGAATTTTTTTTGTTATCTTTTGTCGTCAGTTTTGTGTGCTATATGACAGTCTGAACTGCATTAATCTAATAGATTATTTGTCTTTTAAAGAGGGCAATTGCAATTAATTTTTAAGCTACATCTGTCAGTTTTTAATACTCTGCCTTTAAATAGTGTGCTTTTTTTCTTATAATTTTTTTTCTCAATTAACATCAGATTTTATTTATATTTATTTATTTTTCCAGGCAGCAGATGACATAGGGCTGAGAGCAGGGCCTGATGAAGAGGAGGAAAATTCTGATGAAGACGACAAATTAGACAAAGAGTACTCAATTGAAAAGGAGGACAGTTCAGATGAAAATTATGGAAGTGATGATTTGGAACCAGACATGTTAGAACCCATTGGTGCAGAAACTGAAGAATTTAAAAATAGAATGAGTGAACTAGGTTTGTCAACCATGCAGAGCAATGGTGAAAATGAAAATCCTCAATTACCTGGATCACCAGATGATGGAAGCGATTCAGACGAAAATCTTGAAGACTTGAGTGCAATAAACCGTACATTTAAACCTTTCAGGACAGCTGAACAGAGAGATCATGTCAATGCCCATATAGCAAACAATACCAGATTGCATAGTAGTGGCAGCACTAGTTCAAGTGCAACTATTCCACAACAGCTAGTCAAAGCAAAAGTGAAGAGTCAACTCAAAAGGCAGGAGATAAAAAAACAGGCTAGGAGAATCAGAAAAAGTGGAGAGGCATCACTCAGTACCAAGGCAAGACGTGACAATGCTAGTGAAGTAAAACAAAGCTTAGATTCTGCCTGGTACTAGGTCTGGTTTTAAATTGTTTTTAAAAAGTAAAGGATTCCATTTGATGAAAAAAAAAGAAAAAAAAAAGAAATTGAGAATTTTAACATTTCTCATTTACATACAACCCTTCCCAAATTTACAAACACCATATTTTGTGAATCCCAAAGCAATTTTTATGTTAAACACCATCTGGTTTCATTAAAAGTGAATTAAAAATAATTTTATTGCACTAGAACATTTGATATCACAAACTTTACACAGTAGGCTGTGATACTAAATCATATAGTTCCATTTAACTTCTCCTGAGGGATCCATGTGTCGTCATTATTTATGATCCAAGTCTTTTGTGCACCCAGTCACTGTAGCTTAACATAGGTAAGGGGGGGCCCTCTCAATATTTATATGTACATTATGTCAGTCACATAAATGATGTTATAATAGGTAGTAAATAAAGCATTTTACAACAAAAAGGAATAATGTATGCTAAACCTGTGCAAATGTGGCAGTTCAATAACACCAAGTTTGAGACATTAAATAGTACTTTCTGCAGCAGTCCAACTCTCTCAATGATTTGAATGTCTTCTTTATACCAAAAGAGCAAAACACAACATTTTGCAAAGATGCCCCATAATGTGTTAGGCTGAAAGAAAAATGGCCTCTTTCAGTAGCATATATCCCTTTATCCCGTCATCATCTACAAAGTAACTGCTTTTTTCTGTGTTCAGCAATTTGTTTATGAATGTGTCATGCCGTATGGGTCCTAACAGCTTGTAAGATGATATCACAATCTCTCTCTTGTTTTATTAATCTTCCTTTTTGTCTGATATAGACTGTACTTGTCCATTTACTGTTCCGTTAACATCACGTTTAGTTGGGACACCCTCTGGCGCGTCTCCTGTGCCCTGCTGAAATAAAAATAAGTGCATATAGTGAAAAACAGTCTAAGAGCATTTCCACAGAGCTCATAACAAACGCGGTGTGACTGAATTGCGCAATACACCGCAACACGGTGCAATACACTTGAAAAATCAAATCCAGTTGCAATTACACAAAATAAATGACCATTCCCAGCAAAGTAGGGTGATATAAAAACAACCTATATTACTAGGTAAGTAATATCGTTGACATAACTTAACAAATCAGCAAGACTTTTATATTGTCCAGTTGGCAGCCATGCTGGCGAGTGGCTCTTCTTGGATATATTACTCGCCAAGAAGAGCTGCTCACCAACATGGCGGCTGACCAAACAATGAAAAAATTGTGCCAATTTGTCAAGTTGTATCAGCAATATTAATTACTATGTACTATATTTTGCTTTTATATCACCCTATTTTATTTGAGATTACCCTTTCCTGTGTTTACTTGCAAATGGACTTGTGTTATCAAGTGTGTTGCGCTGTATTGCAGTGTATTGCGCAATTCAGTCACACCCTAACAAACGAGTAAAAATGGTGTACGATGTCAATTCTCTTAAAAGATCCATTACAGATATCTTACATAAACCCAAATTTTTATCTGTTTTCTATTTAAAATAATCACCTTTCCCATGAGAGACTACATAAATACTATATCACCACCAAATTAAATAAACTCACCTTTTCCGCCACTTTTGACTTCGGTACAAACCTGCATCCAGTTTCATCACACTGAAGAGTTTTATCTGTATCTAGCCATTTGGCATATTTTGTTGGCAAAATCATCACAAGATAAGGTCTGATGAACTTGTGAAATACCCATAATAAAACTGGAATGACGATACATGGAACACAGACCATGATGATAGAACTGCAATAGCAATTTCCTTAAACAAAAATCATCAAAACAGTTTCTCAACCTCAAAGAATAATGCACTTCCGGAATTTCTAGCCTCCTCTTAACAAGAGTTGATCGAGCTGCATGATGGGAGCGTTAGAGCATGCGCTACAATCTGATTGCCACTTGTTTCCGGTGCTGAAGTTCGCTAAACGAAGTTATGAAAATTCGGGAATTAATGAAATCACAAATGGTTTTAGACTTAATTTATATAGAGTGTAAATTATAGAAACGATTCGATGGTTTGATTGGTCGGCTATGTTAGTTCTTTCCAAATAGCTCTGAAAATAACAAGTTAAGCCGAATGAGTGGGTACCATCGCCCAAGCTCAAAAGGCAGCTTGTTCAGAAAGGATCCGAGGGGGAGCTACCGGCCTCTCCCAACAGATGCCCAGGTCCAGAATGTGCCAGACTCCCGAGTGTATATATTTGGTGATGATGATGTTAAGGAGGATGACCTCGAACAAGGCTCTGTGGAGATGTCACAGCTCCGTGTACGGGGTGCTAAGAGCAAAGACTACCATTCCCTCAAAGCTGAAAATGACCAGCCCGATTACTTAGAGAAAGAAGTATCGGAGGGTGACACATTACAAAGTTTAGCTTTACAGTTTGGATGCCCAGTAAGTATCGCCTACAGTGAAAAAAGTTAAGAAATTCTCAGTTGTATTCAGGTTAAAAAGATCAACCTAAACACTAATAGCACTAATTAAATGACTACTATTTAAAATGTGGGTTATTTGTTTGCTTTTTTTACGTGTCAGTATTTTTAGTACCGTTAATTTAAAGGCCATTTTTTTTAGTTTCCCAATCTTTGGACAAGTATCCTCGTTACCCACATTGCTTTATGAAATAAATGCTTTCTACAGTGTGTAATGATGAAGGCATTATAAATTATTGAATCATATTTTAATATTGTTGCCATAGTTAAATATTTATTCTTCTTTTCCACAGGTTGCTGAAATAAAGAGGATTAACAACTTAATAAGGGACCAAGATTTTTATGCTTTGAAAAGAATAAAGGTACCAATAAAAAGATTTGGACTGCTGACAGAACTTGTAGAACATGAGAACAAGAATTCAAAAGGAAAAAAATTGACACTTGGATCAGTTGTTAACAGAAACTCTAGATCTGTGATAGAAGAAGTTGAGGAAGAGCAGGAACTCAACAACGAAGACTTTGCATTTGATGGCAGTGATTCAGACAGTCAGACACTCCTTGTAAGAACTTTAAGCATAAGAGGTGCTATGAACAGCCAAACAAAAGAAGCAAAAAAATTCCTCAAGCATATGGATAAAGATTTGCAAAAAATTAGAAACTCTACAAAAAGTCGAAAAGATTCCCTCCAAGAGGTGACATCATATTTAACAACAAAAACAATCCTTCCTCTCTCAAAGAAAATCACAAACACAAGTGAAAAATCCTTATTAAGGTATGCCCTTGGTATAGCTGTGATAGTCTTCATTATGGTGCCAGTATTGTATTTTATTTCAACGTGGATTAATGACAGATATGATAATTCCACTCATACAGAAACAAACGGTTGATATAAAATGAATAACTATTGGTTGAATGGGAAAAGGTGTCATATTACACTTGGATTGATATATGATAAAGCAGTCAATATCGGTTTTAGGGGAATCTACATAGGTTTTGTTAATCAAATATTAAAGGGGGTTAACCTTTGAATGCTGAGTAGCTGGAGCTGTGCTGGACATACAAGCTCCAACATATAGATCTTTAGATATGTGTCATTTTATCAGTATTTTCTCTACCTGTGACATGACACATGATTTTTCCTCATTGAACAGCTAAGGTCAAGTTCTCAGTGTTCTTTCCCAAATGTATTTTAAATAAAAAATTATATACAGCCATTAAGCAATAGAGCAAGGCATATGTTTTTTCATGTGTGCAATTTATCTGTAAAACAATTCATTCCAACATTCTTGCAGCTTCTTTCACATTATTGTAACGTGTAGGATCATGATTTGTCTTTGTATGAAAGTATCAATTCCACAGGATTCTAAGAAGAGCATTGGCCAATTGAAACCTGTCTCTTTACAGAGTTTTGAAGGAAACTCTGACATCCAACACACTAGTTACTGTTGATTAAGTTTGGGATTGTCTTTGGAGGCTCATAAAAATAATGTATTAGGCATCCAATTGCCAAAATGTTGCAATTATCTATATTTGTATATTTTTTAATATGTTCTCAACAGAAACGTTTCTGTTTCTGTAGTTATTAAAGATCAGCAAAATATTAAAATTCACATGTTCCAATACAACGCTTGGGTTAGGTGAAAGTGTTTGTAATATTTATATGTTCAGTTTGTTTTTAAGTCTGGTCCTTGCTTGAACCTTGACACTAGAGAAGATAAATATTAAGGTCTGTTTCCATTCTGATTGGCTATGTCAACATAGTTTGATGCAGGTAGGTCAGCTTGGTAATGATAAATATGAGATGTGTAATATAAAAGGGGACTTTTATCACAGGTTTTGGTACGGATGCCACCATCTCTAGTCATGTTTTAGTAGTCTTGCATGAAGGCTTGGATGTTTTGCCAGACCCTGTGGAAATTTTTATTTTAGTTTGAATGAAACTGAAGATTATCCACTACTGTCTTATTTACCACACCCACTGGATGATAAATAAATCAAACCTCATGAAAAGTGAGTTAAAATCTTACCTTACTTGAAGAATTCTGCTTAATCTCCAAGAGATGCAGAACCTCACCATCAAGAAAGGGTTACATATCATTGCATGATTATTGCTATATCAAGGAAAACTAAATACGAAGGGGGGTAAAAAGTGTTAAACCATACAAATAAAAAGCAGGATATTTGAACTTATACTGCTTTTTTTTTCAACACAAGTCATTTTCCATCTTGACACCCTTGATTCATCTAGTTTGCCAGTCACTGATACCTGGTCAGTAGAGCTTAACATCTTGGTCCAATTACCCTGAGTGTTAGAGCAACGTAAAAATTAGCTTGTAAATATTAAATATACCTTGGAGTCATTTTTACTAGCTCTGAAGACCAGCGGCCATGTTAGGCTTCCGTCAATCAAATAGAACTGCTCCGCAGTGAAACTGCAGTTGAATGTCATTAGACCAAAAATGAAACGTAAAACAAATTTAATTCTGCTTTAATTTTATTTACTGTATTTAAAGAATAAATGAAAAAATGAATAATATTCTTTGAAAAGAAAAGATATCCAATGTTTTTGTATTTTTTGCTTATCAAAGAACATTTAGTCCTGAGATATACACGTGCACAATACACGTGTTTGCCGTGTTAAATTTGACGGCTACACTGTATGCCCGATACCACTATAAGGGCTGCGCAAAGGCTACACGAAAATCAGTTTTTACAGCAGAATGTTGCTTGTATTGTGGCACTGACCTTCGACTGCAAGATATTTTCAATTCAAACTTCTAACTCCGCGTCAGGCACTTAAATTGCTTCTTGTCTCTGTGCACGAGGCAGGAAAGGCAGCTCCAGGCTGCCAAACCTGTGACGTACGAGACTTACGACTTCCAAATATGGATCCAGACGGACACAGCTGTGACGTGTGACTTCCAAATATGGAAGCGCCCCAGGCAGAATTTTGAAGAAGAACGCCCCTGCGTTGCCGCTGTTCGCTAGAGCCTGGTATTGCTAATATGGGTTATATATGAAATCAAGATCGAGCTGGCAATACCAGAATCTAGAACCTAGGGTAGGTCCAATAACCAGCCCTAACAAAAAGTTAATGGATGCACTTTGATGAAATTTCCAGAATAGGTCAGAAATGGGCCAGCTTACAAGACATTACGTTTTAGTGGATATCCACGACCCAGATAAACACCTGGATTCAAGTATTTAAGGGATTATTCAAGTATTTTAAGGGATTATTCAATATTGTGGGATATGGCCAATGACCTTGTGCAATGGACGTCCTCTAACTATCACAAGTTATCATTGCAGTGTCCTAGGTGTCGGTCAGTGCTCTCTGTGCTTTTCTAATTGCTGATGTCAACAAGTGTAATATGGTGCACTTAGTGTTCTTGACATTTACTGACAACATTTCAGCACACAGTAATTCTCCAGTGTCTTTATAAGACTTAGTTTTTGATAAATTTGTCTTAGTTTATTGAAAAATGTTGATTGCATTCTCCCTGCATGCAAATTTTCTTTGAAAGAACTGATATATTCAACACATGGACATCCCAGTCCACCAGTTTGTTGATTTCATTTTTAAAAGGATTTACAAAAACTTTTTAAATCAACATTTTTATTCAAGTGTTAGTTGTATAAACAAACATTTTAACAACAATACCTTACACCTTTCAATTGGTGGTGGCATATTTATTGTACATGTATTACAGTCCTAAAACTGTCATCTTTTCCAAAGGGTGTTAGCTAAGCAACAAGCACAATGAAGTGTTTTGAACAAATGTGACTTGATCATAATTCAGAATATCAAGCTGTGTAATGTTACCCTTTACTGCACTCTTGTATAGGATGGTCACTGCTCTTTCTGACCAAAATTTTGGACATGATCAATGACAGATTCAGGGGCAGCTGCTCTTCCCTTAGCTTATGGGCACCCCTTCTCCCCCCCCCCCCTTCAAACCATTAAACAGTATTGCTAGTTGTGAAACAAAAATGAATTGCTTCATCCCTGTGCCCTAAATACGTTGTCCTAGGAAAATTGCCCTCAATAACTGTTTGCTTATTCACAAACAAACCAGGGATTTTTGTCAAATCCCTGATGATGCCACTTTCAATACAGTGGTGCTTGAATAGATCAACTGCTTTTCAGAATCAACCTGTTATCATGATAAGTATCATGTCATCTGGAGAAACGTGTCCCAAAGCCTCTTGGAACTTCTATTCCAGCCTTGACAACACTTCTGCAAGATTGGGTTCCCATACTTAGATCAATCTAACAGGATTGATCCATCTCCAAGGGGTTTCTTGCTAAATTGCTTCCAGCTTAAGTGGCTTAGATGTCTGGCACGCCTACTGAAGCTGCTAAATGATAATTAATTAACCCTAGCAGCTTAGTAAGTGTGACAGACATCTAAGCAGCTTAAGTTGATTGCAATTTAGCGAGAATCTCCTCGTAATACATCGATCCACAGTTAGCATGATTGAGTCTGATAGGGTCCTTTGTATCAAGACCAACAATCCTTGGCCTGTGAGCCCAAGATTAGGTTTCTCCGGGTAGTGGTACTTAGTATGCTTGGTTTTATCCTGAAACACTGAAAACGGCCAGAACACATCAATAGGTTGGTCCATCATCAAGATTATCATCTTCATCCTCCATACCATAACCTTCCCCATTGTCAAAATAATTCAAGTTGTAGTCAGTCTCCTATAAGACAAAAGGGTTGGGAAATTTTTATGAATTTGTGGGGCAAAGAAGTGCTAAAATCCTAATTTTGCAATTTGGTGTTATAGTAACTTGGCTTGTATAATACCTCAATTTCAGAACAAGAACAATCCTTGAAGTTCCAAATATCTATTTAACAATTCCAAGGCATAAGATCTCCATGAAAAAATTATCAAGAAGTAACGATGGAAAATGTCCTCCAACCTCTTCCAGGTCTTCCTCATCATATTCTTCCTCTTCCTCTTGTTCACCATCTTCTTCTTTCTTTTCTTCTTCATCTTCTTCATCTTTTTCAGCATCAATTTCAACAGCCTTCTTTTCTAGTTCCTGGGGGTCAAATTTAAAAACAAGTATAATAAGTGGATGCAGAAATATTACAAACATTCATAACTCTTTTATCATCAGTAGTAGAAGTGTCTGAGACCAATTCTTATTAAATTTTACAAACCAGTAAAGACCTGAATTCACCATTTAGTATTGGGTAATTCAACTGACAGAAGTGGTGTTCCTTGAGTGTATTCAAATAAACCAATATGTATTTCATTTCTTAATTATTCTGGGAATTTCTGATTGATTTTAAATCCTGGTATAAGACCAGAAATGTTGAACAAGTTTGTAAATAATCAACAAAAATACAAATTACCTCTAAAGTCTGTAGAACATCTTTATCAGCTTTCCTGCTAATTGTCTTCTTTGGAAGACTAGGTCTAACTACTGCTTGTATTTTAGCTGCTTTCCTGACTCGTATTTTGAGTTCTTTGGGAAATCTTTTCCAATCTGAAAAATAATTCTCATAACATTATCCTTTGTCTGTAAGATATAGTAGACTTTACATATAATATGAATATAATATTTCAAAATGTGCAATTTTAATTAAAAACAAATTAAATCTAGGTTCCAATGGCAACAGTGCATGTGGAAGTGAGGAGACCATTAGGAAATTAACAGCATTGCTTTTGAAGTAAGGTTGGCCATACGTAGTCCACAGATCAGTTAGTCCGTGGATCATACGTTCTGAATGGTCTCTTAGGCATTAACTCAAATATGGTTAATTTTTTGTACTTACCAGGCTCCCAGTTAATGCTACTGTCTTGCTGCCCAGTTTGGTACTTGTCAGTGTACCTCTCTATGTCCTTCTTCTTTTCCTGTGCTTTTACATAATAAGGTAGTTCTTTCATGGTTGCCCTGAACTCCTGTTTTAATGCTAAAATATAGTCCATCTCTTCGCCAGTTGTCAGAGCAACTGGTTTGAATTCCAATGGCTGTAAAAAATAATTGCAAACGTATTTTAATTCATCAAACATTTGTTTGCTTTGCCTAAAGATCAAATGCGATCAAAATGCCACCCACTTGTAACTTTCCTACTTATTTTCGTTTTATTACCATTTTTAAACATTTTTAATTTAAAGAAAGGGGGGTCAGTATTAACATCTCTCACGGCCATCCTGGACACTGTTACGTGGCTCTCACAATGGACTAATAAATAGATGTTTTAGTCCCTTATAAACTTTAACGGTGGAACAAACAGAAGAAACGACCGCACGTGCTAACACTCACCGGGAAAAGAGGGGGCGGCTGAAGTGTTGGAGCTGGGAGTGCTTCACCACGACCAAACCCTAGTGTCTCTACAGAAAATGACATCCCTTTACCTCCACCACGGCCTCTTCCCCTACCTCGACCCGCCATTATCACAGATCGCTTATAAAGTCAAACCAGGCGACAAAAAATGATGGGGTACAACAACCCTCACATCCCAAAACAGCCGGGCACTCAATCATACACATATGTAACAATGTACTTCTGTGGTTATCTGTATTTATATTTTTACAATTAAAACAGGTAAAACAAAATGTCTTTATATTCGTATTCATTTATACTTCACTCAGAGTAATGCTCGATTTTAAACATTCCCGAGAAATGTCTGAGCACGTGGACCTGACTGTGATCACGGAAAGCTCGAGTCACATCTCTCTAAGAAATACACTACACGTTGCCTTCTTGCGTAAACGGCCTTGACCTTTAGGGAGCATAGTGTGGATGCATATCTATTTCATGTATTTCAGTATCATGGAGTCATTAACGGTAGTAGAGATAAAAAAAATAACAGAACAGTTAAGTGTGAAATGAATAAATAAAAAACATTTAACAATTTGAAATATCTCTTGGATAACAAATAGTAGAGAAGTGTTTGAAAATAATTGTAAATTTATTGTAATAATGCCCACTCCTCATAATCAATGTCATAGCGCATGAGCACTTCATCGTAAATGGCTACCAAAACATAAGAGACAGTGAGTGCTGAAAGTTATTATAACAAAGCTTCGTAACGTATATAATTGCTTGAGCCTAGCTTCTGCCCACTGTGGAAATAGTAAAGCTACAGAAAGTTTCCGCATTGATTTGCCACTCTGTATCGCCTGGAGTAGCGCAAGAGGTGAACAAAGCTGGCATAAACCATCATACATAAGGTGAAGGTTTGACCTTCTTTCAGCTTATAATTGCGACTCGAGTGTCGAGAAACTGGTGAGAGATGTCTTCAGCTGTGCGAGCTGGCCACATTCCTGTCGCTCTGCTTAGGAAGATACCTCCCCATCAAATATCAGGTAATTGCTTATTTCTGGCGTTTTATTTAATTTGTTGAATATCCATCGTATACAAATGTAGATATGTGGCTCGTGAAACATACTGATGTAATACTTTTTCTCTAAGAGTCTTAAAAAGAGTTTTAACTTTAGGACAATATTTTAAACCCATTAATTGAGGAGCATAATTTATTAATAGTCTGGTGCAGCCGTGACTTATGTAACCAGTAAATTTGACCTAGATTCTGATTATAATTATATAATATAGATTAGACATGAACTTTTTCCGCCTTTTTATGTATCACATTGGAATTTTGGGGATCCTGAACATTGATCCAAGAAAATAGAACAAGTCTAGTACATGTACTTTTCAAGTTGTCTTTATCCCTGGGTAAGATCTGGGAGCTGCAAGACCAGCTACCTTGGATATGGCTATGTGCAGTTTTTCTTCTCTCAGAGAATACATACAGGTTATATAGCATATTCAAACAATGGCCTTTGTTACTTGTTAATTTATAGGGAAATGGTGTGAATTATAGACTGGATTCAAACATTGAACATCAAAGGAGATAACTCTAGTGGATAAGATAATTATGAAGGAGCATGCTTAGGGATGTCTGGCTTATAGGTGTCTATTTGTTCATTTCATTTATATCTGACAATGAAAATTTTCATGACAATACAGTTGTGATATAAGGACAAAATATTTTAACAGATAAGTGCTATGAAGTAATGTTCCAAATTTTTACCAAATTCATCAACTCCTTACGAACATTGCCACCTGTCAACCATCTTGGCTCAGTTTAATTATGGGTTAAAGACTTACTAGTAATGATTTTTCCAAATTATTAAGTTATGGGGCGTGTGAGGGAAGGAGAATCAAAGGTTGCTTAGTCGGAGAAATAACTGAAACCCTTACGAAAATTAATGGTGCCATATTTTTTCTGTGCATCTTTTAATATATTACTGCCTAATTATCTTGAATCAAAGTGGGCTTTAGCCTTAAATTTTCAAATAGAAGGTTATTTTTATTATTATTATTATTATTTATTTATTTATTTATTTATTTATTTATTTATTTATTTTTTTTTTTGGCAACATAAGAATGTTATACATTGAAGTGTTTTTACCTTTATGGCCACGTAAGACATGAGAATTTCATATAATTTTCACATGTTATATTTTGTATTTACTTTAGTAGGAAAGACACTTTTCCATAGCCACCATCCAGTCTCTTTGCCTAAGCAAAGCAGTGTGTTTACATGCAGTGATGGACATGGACTGAGATATGTCAGTAATAACATTGGTGGACTGAATGGACCTGGTACTAATACATCCATTGAGAACTCTGAGTGTCCACAGTGCAGTGCCCCTATGTCACGTATAGGTATGGTTTTTCACTAATACAGCACTGATATCATGTTGTAAGCTTTCCATGGCACCCTACTTGCTATGCTTCAAGCTTGTTTAGGACTTCAGCAGGGTGATTTTGTGACTTGGAGTGCATCCAGAACAGCGGACTAATAGATCCGCAGATCAAATATGGCGGCCCACTCAAAAGCTTGCTGCTTAATTCCCCATTAGACATCGAATAAACTTTCTGTGGGGATCACGCAACAAGCATTCAAATGGGTCGCCCATATTAAATCCACGGATCTGTAAGTCTGTTGTCCTGACCTTTTACTGGTCACATTTTATGAATGTCTATGTTTCCTGTTGTACACATTCAGTTAAAAATTGGTGATGATTAGCTGCAAAGCATTATGTTATATTGCATCAGAGATGACTGATACCCTATTTTGTCTATTGCCCTCATTATATTCTGCTTTGTCTGAACATTTGACAGATTTCCTGCCTTGTTTTTATTTTTATTTTATTTTTAATTAATTAATTTATTTATTATTATAATTATTTTTTTTTAGAGGAGTGACATTTCTAAGAAAGGAAACTATTTTAAGATAACCCTGAATTATTGGGCATATGCCTATTATATGAGGCATATGCCTAACATCCTGTCTGGTTCTAGTGTAGTGGAATTTTGGTTTGAAATGTGCCCCCCGCAAACTATCTACAATAATTTTGACTTGTTATTAACTGCATTTAATGGCACTGTGGCTGTTGGGTGTTTTGTTTAACTTTTTTTTCTGTTTCTTTGGATATATTGTTTCTTTCTTTCTTTATTTCCATTGTTCTTCCTGTTGCATGCATTTTCATTCTTTTTCTTGCTCAGCTTTATTCAAGGATGAGCTAGACTCTCCTCTTAAACAGCCTTCTACTGCCATCACTTTCCGTCCTCCTTCCTCTTTGACGGTTTTCTGTTCTACTGTACACTCATCTGTGTCCAGTTCTCCTCGTCTTCCTTCCTCCCGTTGGCTGTATCAGTCCTTTTTCTGCAAGAAAAAGAAGAAAGGTAAGGAATGTGCTTCAAGTAGGGTTGCATATGTGCCATCATTTTATGTCATATTTATTGAGGTAAACAAAAACATTTTGAAATGTATTGCTTTTAATTATATATATTCTGATTGGTCTGTCTGTCGTTGTTGTCACTGTCATTGTCGCTGTAAGCCCCATAATTGCCAAACTGGTGTTTTACTTTAATTTACTGACTCTTTTTGTTAAAGAGCCGGGTTGTTTTTTCAAAATCAGCATGATCAGTTTACATTTACGGTAATTATTCTGGTTTTCTGCCCAATTTTTGTGACATTTGCCCCATAACTGCTAAACCATATTTTTGTTTCAGTTTAAATTTACTGAGTGGCTTTGTTTGGTAAAGAGATGGTTGCTTTCAAAAATCAACATGATCATTTTACATTAACAGCAATCATGATGTTTTTTTTTTTTTTTTTCACACAAAGGATTTTCAGTGGCTTTTATATCCCATAGAACTGAATCACTTTTTCAGTGTCCATGTTACCTGTAGTACATAATGTAAGAGGGTAAGAGTGATTATGCTGTGTTTTAGCGTTATGTAACATAGCATCAAAATTGGCCAAAACATTATTTGGTGCACTTTTTTCTGTGCAATATTTGAACATTTGTCAGCTTTGCTTTGTTTGATTAGCTACTTGTTTGTGGGAAGAGATTGGCTTTGACATTTAATTTAGTCCTTAACATGGAAAATGCACTTGAGAATATGATAAAGAATCATGTTTACAATAATTTTGATTTGAAGCCATTGGTTGTATCTAAAAGATGTCCATTGGTGTCCATTTCTAAATTATGATTTTATTTGAAGTAATTTTATTTAGCATAGCCTGGAAGTTGGTGATAGTGTGTTGATCTCACATAATGTTATTTTTTCAAACAATTGAATTTATCTTTACAATTCCTGAAATACTTAAACTTTGAAAAAAGTTGAATATGCAATGAAAATCTTGTAACCATATTTGTTTTGATTTTAAAAAATTAGGCTAGAATTTTTTTTTAGCCTCATAACCCAAAAGGCTAGTATGCTTTAAACATTTTAGTACACACAATATTTTACTTTTTAGGACAGGGGCGCTATTTGACATGTAAAAACCAACACACAAAGCACATATATCGCAGGGATTTTTCGAAGGAAGCCATCGGTTACAAAGAGGAATTTGAGCAAGATTCGAATGATGATGGAAATGCTGGATTGAAATTACTTCCCCCTGTAGAAGTAAGCATTACTTACCAAATTTTTTTTTCTCAAATAATTCGAAAATATTTTTAAGAATTGTTATTGGGTTTATATCTATAGTTGAATAACCAACTTGCTAATTTGCAGTAATAGCCTGTATTTCAACTTAAGAGAATAATTTTACATTTTTAAATATTATGAAAGGATACAATTTTACTTTTAGCTACATAAGTATTTGAACAAGTTTGTAGTGGGCCAAGACAATGCAAAAATGGTCCTCTCAGTCGCTGTTTATAACCACTTTAAGCGGATTAACTACGGCATGAAAAGGACGGTCAAGGAGTCTTCACAGAGACTGGCTACAGATGAGTTCCACATGCATGGAGACCGGACTTCCCTTTGTAAGTTCAGGTTCAGGGATTAATCTGGGCCAACTATGGGATGAAAGATATTTTCATGTGTCCAAAATTTATGAGAGATCTTAGCCAGTGAGATGATTGAGCCCAAGAGCTCATGCAGAAACATGGCATGGGTTCAGAGCCCATTCTTAGGCCTCAGAAAATGTATGATTTTACAGGTTGAAATGGTGGATTTTGAATTATCAGCTAATAAGTTTTTCTGAGCGGTACTGTGTTGTTTTGTGCTTTGAAAGTCTGCTGATAATCACTGGTATCCACTGATAGAGTTAGTAGTGAAATAAAATGTAAAATACTCCAAAACTGGCAGAGATACACCCATAGTTACTATTGACCTTGAATTGGAAAAATGAAAATTATCAACAAAAAGTGAAAACCCTGGTTTATTTGAAGTATTTCCTACAGCTTGTCAACCACAACACTATTTGTGGTGCCCCCCTTCTTTTTCTTTCCTATACAAATGCACTTACTCCAGCTAGTGGTACAATACCAGCGGTATCACCTCCCTGATCCTCAGGTTATGCCTTGAAACTGATGTATTGAATTTGCAATGGATATTTCAATCACCAGGCCACTTTTGCCAAGTAATTTTATTGTCATTAGTTCCGTGTTCATTGAAGTAGAGTAAAAATTTTTAGTCTCTTTCACTATCCAACTTGAATTGGCATCATTTATAATATTCTATTTTTATAATAACTCTGTTTATGTCCGTATATGTTCCATCTTCAAATGCTATCTTAGCTTGTTTCTCTTTATTTATTTAATTATTTGTTTATTTATGTTGTAAGAGCACCTCTCGGGTACCACTGATGATCCTGATCTATTACTGTAAGTTTTAATAAAAAAGTTTTATTAGTACCACCAGTGTGTAAGCTGGCAGTACTCATGGTTTTAGTGCTGACCCGTCTCGTATGGCTCTGCCAGCTCCATTGGCTCCGCCGGCTCTGCAGGGTGGTGTGGGATACAAGTAATTTCTACCGCTTCTCCTCCTAGACCTCAAGGACCTGTGTCCCCATCTCTTGGATGCAGGTCGCATATAATCTCAACTTGAACCTCCTGTTTTTTGGGGTTTTTTTGTCTCAGTCAGTCTATTGGCCTGGGTGTGACGCTCAATGAGACACACCCTTGTCAAAATTTTTGAAAATTCAATGCTAAATATTTGCCAAACCGAAAGAATTATTGGAAAAATTACTATAGAAGTCTGAACAAAGTCATATGTGGAGATTCCACATATGCCCTTGGATTTAACTATTGACCTTTATTTCAAGGTCAAATGGGGCAAATTTTTTTAAAAATGGGAATTTTCTGCAAAAAAAAGTTTGTTTGTGCCAATTTTCAGAAAATACACAGACCTAAGCTCTCATATTATATTGACGGGTTTCAATTAATATCTTTGGGAGTTTGGGGTCACTCAGTGCACTTTCATGGGAGAAGCAGTCATTAAATGCTGAAAACTGTTTATTTAATATGGTTTAGGAGTTGTGCCATATCAAAAAAATGCAATGTTGCAATATTCAGTGGTGATAACAAAATGTGACGCCCATAGTTACTAATGAACTTGAATAGGAAGTCATATATTAGCAATCTAACTGTGACCTTGAAATTAACTTATGACCTACTTTTCATGATGAACTTCACTTTGCAAACTTTCCAGCCCTTATAACTCCAAAACTGGCAGAGATACGCCCATAGTAATTATAGAACTTGAATAGGAAGTCATATACTGGCAATTTTGACCTTCTTTTGACCATGAACTGAACTTTGCAAACTTTCCAGCCCTTGTATCTCCAAAACTGGCAGAGGTAAGCCCATCGTTACTATTGAACTTGAATAGGAAGTCATCTACTGACAATTCAACTTTGACCTTTAAGTTGAGCTTTGGCCTACTTTTTACCCTGTACTGAGCTGTGCAAATTTTTTTGTCTCTCATATCTCAAAAACTGGCAAAGACACACCCATAGTTACTATTGAACTTGAATAGGAAGTCATATACAGGCAATCTTACTGTGACCTTGAAATTGACCTTTGACTTTTCATCATGAACTGAACTTTGCAAAATTTCCGGCCTTATATGTCCAGAATTGGCAGAGATATGCCCAGTGTTCCCCCTGGGTTTTCTACTTTTTCAGCATATATGCAAAACTGATAACACAATTTAAGGAAAACCAATAGGTCTATTCCCTTCAAAATCACAGGAGTGATCAATGTTACGAAAATGCAGGTCAATTTGAAAATCGCCTTGATCGGAGTATTTTTACAGTTATGCTGTTTCTTTGCTGCTTTTTTCCATATTTTGAGAACTCTTGTTTATTGCATTTTATAGAGCTTGTCAAGCACAACACTGGTGATGGTGTCCCATATGAATGTGCTTACTCCAGCTGGTGGTACAATATCTGTAGGCGGTAGCGTCTCTCTGATCCTCTAGTTTTAACTAATCTTTACCTAACTTAATCAATATTTTCTTACATGACGTTAGTCTTCATCTTCTTATTCTAGATTTCACACATAACAGTAGCATAGGTCTCCAGGACAATTCTCTGGGAGCACACATGCCAGAGGAGCAGAAGCAGCAGAAGCAGCATCAGTCCATCCAGCTTGTTAATGAGGAGGTGCATTTGGAGAAGGCCAACATACTTATGCTTGGGCCTACTGGTTGTGGTGAGTTGGCAACAGTTTTAAGTGTGGTTGTTTGTGACATGTAACATCTGTATGAAAAATGTGATTTGAAATTTGTAGTCATTTTTATGAACAAGATGAATAAATATGTGTACAGGGCAGATGGAAGAGGTATGAAATTTAAGGTAGGGGAAGTAATAGTTTTTGTGCAAGTTTACTTTCTAAAATATGTCTAAGAAATTATTGAGAAGAAAAATGAACTAATCCTGGTAGTTTTTATTTTTCAGGTAAAACTCTGCTTGCTGAAACCTTAGCCAAGATTTTGAATGTCCCCTTTGCCATCTGTGACTGCACTACCCTCACACAAGCAGGCTATGTTGGAGAAGACATTGAATCTTGTATTGGACGATTGTTACAGCGTGCCAACAATGATGTGGAACAATGTCAGATAGGTAACATATTTTTGGATTGGCATATCTAAATTTTCTTTTTCTTTGGAGAATGGTTTCTTTACAAACACTTATGCTCATAAGTTAAGCAACATCTGCAACACCTCGTTTTTTTCAAAAGATTCTTCTATCGCGATCAATATTTCATTTGTGTGGGATTATGCATATTTCTTTCATACTTAATAAAGCCAAACCATGAGGCAAAAAAGTATGCTCACACTGCAAAAAGTACATGCTGATTAAAGCAGCTTATCATAAAAATATAAAGTTCAGTCATCTTAGAATTGGTTTTAATAAAAGGAGACTGTAGATAACAGATGATTAATTGTCTATTATGCCGTCAATATTGGGTATGCCCTCCATGGTCGTGAAGAGCAGCTTCACATCGTCTCCTGCAAGTTGCCACCAAATTCTGTATATCTTGCAATGGGAGCCAGTCACATTCCTCAATCACTGAGTCAGTCCACAGGACCCTTCTCCAAGTCTTGAGATTCCATCTTTCTGGGTATCTGGCCCATGCCAATCTTATCTGCTTGTCTGTTGGTCAACAACAACTTTTTAAGGGGTCTACTAGATGGCAGCCCAGCTTCTAAAAGATGCATGTTAACTGTTTGCCTATTTGCTCGAGTTCTTCCTAATCCAGACCAGATGTTTCTCAGTTGTTTGGCTGACATAAACTGGTTCTAGTGACATAGTTTTTGACCTGATGTCTTCTATCTCTTACATCTCGGTCTACCAGAATTAACCATGTCCCTAACATGATGAGTTTGGCACCATTTTGCTACCAGCCTAGACACTTCACTTGGTGCCACTGTCTGTCTGTCTCATAGGCACCCCAGCACGATGGCTTGCTACAATTTGCCATCTGATTCTCTTGTTGAATCAACTTGCAAGCATTTGTTGTTACAATATTACAAAATGTACCCATAAAACCAGCCAAACTGGACGCCCCACATGGCACTCTCAAACTGTGTTTTTCGCATGTGGTACCCCTGGTTCATATTCTACTCTGTCCAACAGTGAATAGAACTCACAAGTCACTGTCCAAAACAAGATACATGTCTGGCTACTGAACAAATTTTGCCTCAATAAAAAGCCTGGTTGCTGAGAAAATAAAAAAATAATTAAGTGTTGCTTAACTTAAGAGCATCGGTGTATAAGTTTCCATTTAAACTAGGTGAGAGTCATCTACTAGACTTTCATTTGCCATTTTTTCTGTTCTTATGTTGATGGACATCTTACAGTCTTTTACAAATCTCCCATTTTCATTCTTAATTCAACAGATTGAATGAATATAAAGCAATTTTTGAAAATTCATGCTTTATGTTCAGCTTATCATGCAAAAGAGAAATCAGATTAATGCACCTGGAAGTGTGTATCTTCAGAGTGTTTTCTTTCCTCATAGGTATTGTTTTCCTCGATGAAGTGGATAAGATTGGTAGTGTGCCTGGCTATCACCAGCTCAGAGATGTGGGAGGAGAGGGGGTGCAACAGGTAAAAAAAGGGAATCTGATTTCTTAACATTATATACTGACTCTTTTTTCAAATGCTGGTTAAAAAAAGGTTTCTTTTCTCCTTAGATCACCTTAATGAAAATAATGTGTCAATGATAATAATCAGGGATGTGGGTTTTCAGTTTGTGTCCTGCTTTCATGTTTTAAAACTTAGGTTTTTTAACCTTTCTGGGGTAATTGCACAACATTATCAATTTCCAGGTTCCCTCTGAATAACCATAATAGTGTTTATTATATATAAACACAATTATATATGCACTGCAGGTAACATGGATATTTGGTAATATATACACACAAACACACACACACACACACACACACACACACCAGTGTGTGTATTTCTATTGTTTCTAGGACTTAATTTTAATTATTATTAGCTTATTAAAACTTAAATTTGCCGTGTTTTATCTTCAAGGGTCTGCTCAAGCTGCTAGAGGGTACAGAAGTCAATGTTCCTGCCAACAACAACAAGCGTTCAAGAGGAGAAAGTGTCACTGTGGACACTACTAATATCCTGTTTATTGCCTCTGGGGCTTTTAATGGATTAGACAGAATCATATCTCGTAGGCTACATGAGAAGGTAATTGAGTGTTACATGTATAAAAGTTACCATTTGCCCAAAGAGTAGGTTCTTATATTTATATTTTTTTGAGAATTTTTGGATTCAGTCAAAGATATAGTTAAGAAACAAAATTGAAATATTTTATTTTATTTTCAGTACTTGGGATTTAGTGCTAGTGGACAACAGCAGGGACGCAGGGCAGCCACATTAGATGACCAGAAACATGTAGGGGACACAGATGATGCTGAAGCAGAAAATAATGAAAGGGACAGGCTTTTGGCTAAGGTGGAGCCTAGGGATATCATAGAGTTTGGAATGATCCCAGAGTTTATAGGAAGAATTCCCAACACCGTAGCCTTTCACAGTTTGAATAAAGACATGCTTGTGAATATTCTCACAGATACTAACAACAATCTGGTGGCTCAGTACAAGAAAACATTTGAATATGACAAGGTATGGCATTTTTTTATGTTCACCCACTGATTTTGCTGTTAAGCTTTATGTAATATTGCATCAGAATTGAAGAAAACCCTATTTTGTGCACTGTCACCATAGTAACCATTTAAGGAAAACCATGTCACTTACTTTTCTCAAGCTTACAGAAGAGAAACAAAGGACTGAAATACAATTTGAGTTGGTAAACCAGTCTGATTGGTGTCTGTTTCTTGAAATTATTCAGTTCTTTTGTAAAATGTTAATTTTCACTTATTAACTTTTTGTCTGTATATTTGACAGCTTTGCTGCCTTGTTATTCCTTTATTATAAAGCAAAAAATTTATTCTGTTCAAGATTGAGCTGGAGTTTGATGAAGATGCTCTGGAAGAAATAGCTCAAAAAGCTCTAAATAGAAAAATTGGTGCAAGAGCATTGCGAGCTGTAATGGTAAGAGAGAAATGTGCTGCATGATTAAATGTAACACACATCTTCATAGTAGGTAGCTGACAAGATTGCTGAAACTGCTGTTTGTAAAATTTAAGCAAGATGCACTGATTTAGATGAAGAATTGTAATAATAATCATTTTGTAACAAAGTAATAATCACACTGTTTTAATTAATGGTTGAATTGAGTGGGTGGGGCTCGTTTCCAAAAGCCACACTTAAAACATTCCCAAACTTGTACTTCGAAAAATCTTAAATTACAAGAGTTTTAATTGATTTAAAGTTAATTTTATATTATAGGAAGAAGTCCTGCTTAAGCCGATGTATGAAACTCCACAAAAGAACATTAAGAAAGTGAAAATCACTGCAGACTATGTAAAAGGAATTGATGGTAGTCCGCAATATGAGTACTTTGAAGATGAAAAAACATCACTGCTCACAGACACTACAGATCCTCATGTGGAACATGCACCTAAGAGAAAAGTCAAGCTCTAACAAAGCTACTGGGTTGAATCACAAGGCTGTATTGATGGCTTCATAACTGTAAATTAATGCCTATGTTGCAAGCTATTTTACTCTCTTATATTTGTATCATATATGGCAGGACCAATTCCTCCTGTAGAAATCAAATATTTTTAAACCTTCATGCCACAGTCTAACATGATTCTGTTTTATAAAGTGTTTAAGTTAGAAAGAAAGTAGTTGGAAAATAAACTGAATATGAAATATCAAATATTAATAACACATTCTTGAAGATATTTGGCCATTGGAAATTGCACAAGTTACTGTGGGAGTAGCAGTAAGTGTAACAATGTTAACTGTCCCTGTTTCATAAAGTGGAATATTACAATTATAATATTGATCTGACATTTGTAATCACAAAGAACCAGTGTATTCAAGCGGTATTGATTATTGCATCAGATATGAACTGTAGATTCTCAAGTTTATAAATAAAATGTTGAGGCCTGAAATAGTGAGTCCCAACTTCTTGAAAACTTAAATATTTTTCAATTAATTGAATTAATTTGGTTTATACTGAAAATTGGTGATGTAAGTGATGAACTATTGTGCAATTATATAGTTGATATTTGATTCTGAAGAAAATATCAGCTTCAGAGAGATATTGAAGTATATTTTTATATATGGACTTGGTATGCATCCGCATATACTTTTTTCACTTTCTCTGCCTGTCACACATTTGTTGTTCACCCAGTAACTTTAAAGCTGTATTTTTGTTTTACTTTGAACATATCGACATATCGAGTGGCTTTGCTTGGCAAAAAATGAAGGTTCCTTTTGCCAAGCAGTGTGGTCGGGTTATTTTTTTTTTTCTTTTTTTATTTATTTATTTTTTTTTTTTACAGCTCATATCTGGTCATTGGTTTGAATTTGGTCCCAGTGCTCTACTTTGAATCTGAGAGGCTCTGTTCTGATCTTGTACCTCTGAATGTCCATCACGGGCTGATCAAACGTGGTCTAAGAAAGTCCTATTAGCAGGACTTGTTTTTGTTCTGAAAACATTAACTATGTTATTGTGAGGGTCGCACGGTTGGTACGACTTTTATTTGGTCCTCGGATCAAATTTGGCTCCCAGGGCTCTATTTGGCACCGAGAGGCGCTATTATGGTCCTTCACATGTCAATGTCCTTCATGGGGTGATCTAACGTGGTCCTGAATAGTCTACTTACTCTGTACGTTAATGTGGGTTGATTAGATAACCAGATTAAACAGATATGTTCCACGTCTTTGTTTAAAACTGCCCTTTGACCGGAAAAGGTCCGCTCTAAATCAAAATTTTATCTACTTTCTATTCCATTTCTCAATTTGTTTCAACAAAAGTGTAAAAAGCATGAGAGAAGGGCCCACTGTTTCAGAAAAAGGCACACATCCTTTGAAATTGCTGAGTGTATCTAGTATGGAATATGCGAAGTTTGAAGCCACGATCTGAACGGCAACTCGATCGCCTTTTGATTAGCTGTAACTTGAATTCAAAATGTAAAGAAAGGCCTTAATGTAGCATGGAGAACATTGTCCAGATAAGACAGCGGCTGTGTTGGCTCGAACTGTAGATTCACTTCATTTTGTTATTTAAGAGACCATTCCCAGAGACTATCGTGCTAACTTTAGATCGATCTATCTCCAAGGGGGTTCTCACTAAATTGCTATCAAGTTCAGCGGCTTAGCTGTCTCGCACGCCTACTGAAGCTGCTATCATTAAGCGGCTTCAGTAGGCGTGCCAGACATCTAAACCTCTTATACTAAAAGCAATTAAGCGAGAAACCCCTTGGATATGGGTCGATCCAGTTAGATCGATCTAGGCATGGGGATCCAGTCTAATTAACACAGAAGAGAAGGGCTACGATATTTCCAAGTCCAAATAGATTCCACTTCAGCATTGATAACCAAATATTATGTTCATAATGGCATATTTTGTGCTATTATTGATATGCTGAACCCCATCCAATATATATATATCATTGGCGTAAAATTGAGTGGAGAAAATATTTATATAAAACGTACCTTTTTATTCTCCACACGATATTCTCTAATTAAGTAAACATTGGAAATCCGCGAAACGCTTGACACTTAATTAAACATCACGTCGACAGCTTGGTATACATACAGCTATTTTATGCACTGAAGGTGGAACAGCAAACAATGCTTCATTAGGTCTGAATACATTAAAGTATATCCTTTGTTCACAAATTGTATATTTTAAAAAGAAATCATCGACACTCATATTGCGTGCTGTCACTCGTCAATTTGGTCATGACAGAAAGCTTGTGAAACGGAACAATGGAGAGATGTTTTTCTTTGGTACGTAGCAGCGGGATTTTCCATGGGTAGAACTTAACCAATCTTCCGTAGAAAGACCCCTCAAAAGTAGGTTACAACCTGTGGAGTAGATTTAGAACATCATCATGCAGGTATTACCATATACTCATTTTATCTACAAATAAGAATTAAGGAGGAACAAGAAAACTGACCGCTTAAAGTCAACTCTAGCGATAGTTATTACAAATGATTTGCTCGATGACATGGACTTGACATGTCAAAGGTCAGCACTTTGAGAAGAAAATAGAATGTGACACGGGATAAAACGTACCTGCAGTTTGAGTTTAATTTGGAGCATTATCCCTTTTATATGTCTATGCAATACACGTTGTAGATCAAATGTTTTATGATAATTAATATCTTTAATACTGCATTTGTAAATGAACACTTCTTTCACTCGTAGTGACTATTGCAATGGGTCGTTTTCCTTTATAATAACTTACCTCGAAAATATGAATTTAACTGGCGCATCCCCATTCGGCCATGTATTTGAACTCTTCAATATCTGTTGCGAATTCATCTTTGCAACCCTGAACATTCTCAAAGCATTCCACCTGGTTAGTCCACCTGTACATATATATGCGCATGTAAATGTACATCTGTATCATTAATTCATATTATTTCATAATGTGCCATGCAGGAAAAAGCCCCCTTCCCAAAAAAGAAAATAAGTCCGCACAACCGAATTTTGTCTGGAAACAACTTCAAAAAAAGGAGCGCTGTGTTCTTTGAACCATTAGGACCAGCATTCGTGAAAAGATTAAAGCCTTCGTTTAAAAGTCTCATCACATTATCCTCTAACTTCCCAATTTTTCATCCTTCTTTAATTGCTTATCCACAACTGTACACGTACACGCTTAAAGGGATAATAACTCTTTGTATGAGATCTATATTCCACAATAAAAACAGTGTGAATAACTCATAGAAATATAATATATTCTGTTTTACCACAAAAACGGCAGTTATAGCTATTATTCTGATTTTTGAGCTTGTCTTTAGACCACGTGTCCCTCATTGATGGCTATACTCTGGCTATAATCTTAAGAGATTTTAACAAAAAACCAAACTTTTTAGAAAAAAAACAGGGACTAACTTTGAATGTAAAAATGGATTCATTAACCATTGGTAAGTATGGGAAAATTGTTGTTTAATCCAGGAAAATTCATTTTTTGGGCCGAGAGTTATTATCCCTTTAATAAAGCTAGGAGCTTATATACAGCAATATTTGTATATTGGGGTCCTGGGTTGAAATAACTTACATTTGACATGTCGACAATCTGTTTCTTTTTAATAATTTCATGTCTCTCTTCAACACTTTTAAACATTTCTTGCGACCTTTTTTACAGTCCCCTGAAACTTTAAAATTAAGAAATATTGAAATAGCAAGTAATATCAAATTAATATAATATGCGTAGGGAATTCTTTCTTGTTTAAATGTCGTTAATAGTGATAAAAAAAAAGAAAACTAGAGACAGGCTGCCGTTTTACAATAATTGTCATTGAAAGCTTTTAAAGGTGTTTTAAGGATGACTTTTGTATAAATACCACACAATTTACACCAATATGTAATATAAGTGAAATTACAAAGGCAGAGAGAAAGTTAATTAGATAAACAAGTGTACTAGTCAGTAAAACACAAACTGAAATTATATGTGAATTAAGTTAGCACATGTGTACGGTGTGCACGTGAAGTATGCAGGGGCCCTGTAAGTAGACGCCCCCGAAATGGACAGTTTATCTGATGGCTTGAACACGCTGTGTTGGCATAATTTGAATTGATTGGTTATCTTTAAAAATCATTGAATTACTAGCTTACGTAGAGAGGCTCATAATGGCGAAAACGGCAATTAATCCAGCTAGGGACAAAGGAAAATAAGAAGTAAATAACAATCTGAAAAACGGTTTTCGATACAGTGTTGTGCAATTTTTAAGAAGTTAACTTTGTGCATGCATATATGGGTGCTGATAAAAATCCGTTCCATGGAGAAATTCGCATAAGTATCACTAACGAATACGTATCGTAGCCATAAAATTTCATATTAGACCATGGTGTTCTAGATTCTGAATTTAGATGACTAAGGAGGGGATCAAGTCTATTTTAAAAATTGTATTCATTGTGAATTTGACATTTGAAATAAAGCATTGGGGGAAACTTATCGGAAAAGCAATTAAATCCCCTTTTATAGAATAATTTCGCGCCATTTATTGGCCTCCTATATACCTTTGCTTACGTTACCTGCTTCAGCCTCCAGCACTAGCGCCCATATGCACACCGCTATCACAAAGATTAGATTTGGTAACTTCATTTTGAATTCCTGATCCCAAATATCTGCAAAATTGCTTAGCAGTCAGAATTTGGCAATTGATACTTTGATATTTGTCACATCTGCGTGATATACACTCGGCCAAAAAAGTTCGGAAACATCGTTATTTTGAATAATTATAAAATATTCAGCATGTAGGATACAGTTAAAATGAAGTCTTGGGGTTGCTCAGCATCATTTTCGCGCGAAGCCTCCACTGTTTATTGTCAAGACTTTCTCAAACTTTGTCATGGAAATGAAAAGTCAATAAAGTTTTTACTGTCATGGAAATGGCAAAGTTTCGTTACTCCATTTGCATTATTTGTGAAAATAAAATTTGACCCTTCATTCATAAATGTCGCTGTAAATCCCACAAAATACCTTTTCTGGCAAAATTTCAAAAATAAACGAATGGTGGGTGTATTATCCATCAATATTTGATTAAAATACTTACCTTAGCTCATATATATAATTATTAAAAATAACGATGTTTCTGAACTTTTTTGGTCGAGAGCATATTGGTACCATAAAGGGTCCATAAAGGTAATCGCGAATGTCAGTCAGGATTTAAATGCGTGACTACAAATTTATTAAGTTTTGATTAGGTACTATTATTAGTATTTATACTCACCAAACTGAATCTGTGTCCGGAAAATTGTTTATAGAATTATCAAACGAACGTTCAGCTTTTATAGTTACTGCAGGCGTCATTAAAATCCAATCGTCATTCCTACTGTGAATTATGAATACGTTAAAACAACAGCTGCAGCACTAATGAAGGCGTGTTTGCGTGTTTCCGTCCAAAAAAAAAAAATGTTTGTCGTTAAAAATTAAATGTTTCCTTAGCTGTTATTTATTTCAAACTAAATGAATTAACGCAAAATGATCATAAAAACGATAGAACCTTGTCGCAAAATATTTGTTTAGGGATGTTTGCCACGATTTCTTTGGTAACAATCAGTCGGTTACAATTTCTATCGATCATTAAAACGTCATTTACAACGTCCTGTCATTGTTGTGTAAATTAAGCAGCCTAAATGCAAATAAAATTAATTATTGCAATATCACAAATTCACCTGTAAATGTACAAATTATTTCCCTTAATTTCCAAGAGTTAAAACAACTATATGTACAACTACTGGAAATCATAAGTGTATGCCAGGATGGGAGGGGGGGGGGGTGTGATTCAACTTGTCCCTTCCCAATGCAGGAAGAAAAAGACACACAGAAGCATATTTGTCATATCATTAGTTTTACAATATCCCAAATAGCGCCATTTTTATGCTTTCTTGGTCTTAAAGATCAAGTACTATTCGCCTAAACGCAAAATTATGACCATAAACCCTAGTAAAATATCTTTTTTTTCCTTTTCCAAAGCCCCACACACCTGTCAGTTTCTACAGTTACCATGTTCCGTAGTGTAAAGCGATACTGTACGTAAGAAAACCAAACACCGTAGGAACAACCATGTTATTTCCACGGTTACCGCAAAAGTAAAGGCACCCACGTTCGTGGCGGAAGTTAATTCCGGTGCTTTTCAAAGTCATGATGGCCTTAAGACCTTGTCATACCTTACAAATCAAAAGTTGTTTAGAACGTTTGCATACGCTTTACCATCAATGTCTATTTTTTTATAACATTTTGGGCGTCTACATACATACGTAGCGTATTAACGCTGAACGTAAGAGTAGAGCCGTAACAAACGTAGGCTATTCATAATGTGTTATCAATTCACGTAAAACATTTCGAACACTGATATTTTATGTATCGCAGCGTATCACTAACGAGTGCTTGTCGTAGCCATAAAATTGCATAATATTAGACCAAGCCAATATATTCACCAATTTTTTACCCTTACTCTCTGACCACAGGGGTCGCTAATAGTCTCTTACAAAATTGTTTAATCGACATTGTCTTTACCTGAAAAATTATCGTGAAATGTCCCTGTTCGTTTATTATTACCAACTGTTGGCATTTGTATAAATTTAAGAACCTTACAATTACACAGATTAAGCGAGTTATATTGAAAAGTACACGCTATTTGCCAATCACATGTATGTCCAAAGAGGTCAGGTAGGTATGATGGCTGTGCTTAACGCTCAAGTGTTAAATACACGATCTATTTGCCTCATTTTCTAATATTTAAGTTGATTTCCATCTTCCTTGTATAATAGCCGAATCGTGAAGAAACTAATTTAACCGATCACTTCATTGGCATGGATTTCACAGTCAGTGCCATGGAAACCAGTGGGGCAAGTGCAGCTGTACTCGTTGTTTCCAATGGCCAAACAAGATCCTCCGTTCTGGCACGGCGAACTTCCACAAGTTGCCTCTAAAAAAATAGCAAAAAGAAAACAATGTCTTACGCCACAAAATTTTCAGACGTGACAGTTACGTTTTTTCTTTCGAGTTATAAAATAGTCATAGTAAATGCGTCCTAGAATTGTTTGTTGGGGGCGCATCATTTTTAAAGGATGTGCCTGCATATAAGCTTAATTTCGACAGATATTGATATTCTATATAAATCACAGCAAGTTAATATCACAGCCTGTCAGAAGTATAGAGAAAACCGTCTCATCAGGAGGCTGCAATCTATAATTTAAGCGTATCTGGAACCTTACAGGATAAGAAATCATCCATGGTTAGCCGAATTCCCGGCGTTTATTGCACAAACTTACCGCATTTCACATATGAAGCTTCGTTATCTTTGCAGTTACGAGAAGATGCAATAAAATAACCGCATTCAAAGATTCTACTTTCAGTTCCTTTGCATCGCACATTGTCAAATATCATATCTCTGCCAGCTCCATCTAAAGAAAAAAAAGTTGCTCAGACATTTTCAGTCCATGCCTTTGATAATGTGCCACGTAATAGGAGTTTGAAGAAAAGAACCCTAGATACAATGACATGTGTATACATATGTACTGTGTAATTATTAATTCCTTATATACTTGCACTCCTTATAGGGTGGCTTCAGAACTAGTGGTCATTGGTGACCTTTTTTGATTAAGTAATAGACCCTTCTAAATAAATGCAGATCCTAGTAATTTCCATGTTTATCTACCTTTATTAAAGAATGGATTAATTAACCTCTGCCAAGGATTTGTTTCTGGTTCCGTTTACCTGTATGCTTATCTGTTAGCCACATTATGGTAAATGTTGTGGGTGGATTTTGATGAAATTTTCAGAAGCTGTTGGAAGTGAACCAAGTAAGAATCGATTCGAATTTGGTGCTGATCCACTTCAAAATTAATGTTTAATTATCAGTTTATTATTTGTCTGTTTGTCAGTTACATTGTAGCAACATTATGCCAAAGGTCAAGGATGGATTTTGCTGAAAAATTTTCGGAAACTTTCGGGAGGGGACGAATCAAAGATCCATCAGAATTTGGTGATGTTTCACTGATTAATGAATACGTTAATTAATAAAGTCCGTCTGTCTGTAAGCATAATTGTGCAAAACGCAATGGAGGGATTTTGATGAAATGTTCAGGACAGGTCAGAAATGGGATAGCTTTTGTTTATGTGGTGATTAATTAATATTAATTAAATAATGAGGTGATTATTTAATTAATAAATTATTAAAAATAATGCAAAATTAGCTTATTAATTAGAAAATAAATAAAAATGAGAAGTCGATTAATTGAAAAACTAATTAATAATTAATTATCAATAATGAGAATGAAGCTGCCTTGGCGGAGGTCTGCGCTCTCTGATTGTTTTTTTAGTTTACATGAGGAGATGGTCTTGCAGGTAGATCCGGTGGACAAAGGAGGGAGGCACCCATCATACCAGATCACACTGATGGATGAAGACCTAAAAAAAGAAAGACCCAAACACCGAAACCGACAGAAGCACGTTTCATATTCTAAAACTGCCCAAAATATTTTCAAATACTGTAGGTCTAATTTTATCAATGGTCCACTTACACACGGAGACAGAATGATGCACCGGGTTGGCGGTGGGGTACCCCAGCATTCTACAGACCACTTTAGGACCGCCGTTACCACTAACGCCTTGACCCACGAACCAATCGTCACAGATGTATCCCCATCTCCCATTAAAATAACCTTGGACAACGCCTTCAGGTCCCGTAGCAACTCCGGCTGCATGCCCTTGAAGAGTTTCTATTAGGCGAACATCTCCATTTACCTTGAAAGGTATTTAAACAAAATCTTCAAGTATTCCTCACATTAAAATATATTTTACAATTTACTTCTGATAGCTGATTTTATTTTAGTGAAAGAGATAAAAAAAACACTCGGTTCTTTTCAGTGATACGCGTTGATGCGATGTTTAAATGCACATGTATATCAAGAAATAGTCTTCTCATGATCATGAATATTATAAACTTTTTTAATGAAAAATAAGTGGAATATGATGTTAATACATCCAACAGTGCTATTGTAATAAAATTTATCTTTGGTAACAATAATAATGTGAAATATAGATTCTTATAAATTAGACTTTTTGAATTTGTTTTTAAAATATTTTGATATTAAAATATCCATTTTTTCTCCTCACATGGCCTCCAGACACACCCTCTGTTGGTCCCCCGCCAGTCTGACACGGTGGATTCACACAGGTCTTTCCTAATTAATTGCAAAACCAATTACCAATTTTACTATTCGCTTTCTTTTACAGTTGGTCAGATGGAAAGTTCTTCTTTTCTTTTAGTATCTAGATGCATATCTTAGGCTTTATTGGATGTTTCTTTTTATGATACACATGTACGTTGTACATATACAATATAACAGCAGGTTATCTTAAGATAAGATTTCAGGCAGCATGTATTTTGCAGACTTTCTTATATCTGAGTGCATGTACTTGTACCTACCGCATTCAACATATGCTGCTTCATTATCTTTACAATTGTGGGGTGTTGCAATATAAAATCCGCATTCGAATATATTATTCTCGGTGCCTTTGCATTTCACGTTGTCAAACACCATCTTTGCGCCTGCTCCATCTAAAAACCATATATAGTATTTATACGATCATTCAACGTAACGTATGCCACTATAATATTGTAAAGGTTTACTCAGTACGGTGAATTAAAGAGATCATTTATAAATACTGTTTTCGTCAAATATTAGTTCAGCAAAATACATTTTTGTTTGCACGTAGGCCTTCACATACTGAATATGGCGCTTACGGCAGCATGAGTGTCATAGAAAATTAGGCAAAAGGTAAGCCCCCGCCAATACTAGTACACAGATGTATGTAGCTCATGATAGGTCTACATGATATTACTTCCAAAAGTTTCCCGTACTTACGGACAGTCGTGGTTCTGTGAACTGGTGTCTCCGTTGGGTAACCCAACTGCCTACAAACAACTATAGGTCCACCATTACCGTACACACTATTACCCGTGAACATATCATCACAGATAAAACCCCATCTTCCATTGAAGTAGCCCTGCACAACCCCCGATGGCCCTGTGGCAACACCTGCTTCGTAACCTTGCACTACATCAATGAGGCGCACATCTCCATTTTTCTTAAAATATTAACATCTATTTAAAATATAGGACAATGTTTTTAAATGTTTTAAATTACTTTCTTAAGATCATTTACGTCGTGCAAAGTTTCCTTGAGGAGAAAAAAAGAAACTTGTGCTTTTCTTTTTTGTTTGAAATTAAGCAAAAGAACAAAGTCTGTTTTATTCTTACTTGTGCTTTTGCCCCAAACAATACGAGAACTACAACTGCGAACTGCAAACTGAACATGCTCCCCCGGTGAAGCCTTTACTAATGACTGCTTTTGATTATGTCGCCTGCGCCTGTCAAACCTAGCTTTTTGTTCAGTAAGTACCTATAACATCTCATCATTCTGTTTCTCGGTCGCTGTTCTTAGGGCCAATTCCCACTGAAACTGTCGTTCTACGTAGATCGATCCAACTCCGCTGGGACTCTCGCTGTATGTACATAGTCATATTAATTAATTAATTGACACGCCTTCGCTTGTTTCCAACGTAATCACACAATCGCCAGATTTTATGCATTCTACTCAACGCCATCAGGAGCAGGCGTGTTTATCTTATAATCTGATTGCATTCGGCGAGTGTCCCCTCGTAGCTGGATCGATCTGCGTAGATTGATAGTTTCACTGGGCAGGGGCTCCTAGTGCTCAATTCGTGACCTAAATTACGATAAAGATAGGGATAATAGATAAGCAACAAATCTAAAAAAAAGATGAATTAGACTAGCTAGGTTCAGGCTAATTAAAAATTACAGTTGCATATTATTCTCACGTATCATAATACCTTTGCCTGCCTTGATGAAGAGTTTTGTAAACATTTTTGTATGCCTAAACTACAGAAAACGTAAACATAGTTATCAGGTCCTAAGTCCTAATATACGTGAGAACATCGTCACTTGTTAAAGCTGATACTAGGGGAGCTGATTAAATTGCCCATCCTTCGAAGAACAAATTAAGACAGCTGAAAATATATACTGTAACGCTTTTAAAGTATCTTGTTATCGTGAAAGCTGTTTAAACAAATTTTGACTTAAACATTATTTTCTAGAATGGTCAATTTCAGAAAATCAACTGAATTCGAAATTGGTACTCGAATAATTCTTAGAATATAATATAGGAGGAAATAAAGATTACTATATATTTTTTCTTCTCTTGGAGTTATATTATTGGTATCTCTTAGTGCTTTTTTCAAAACTTTTAGGTGAGCATTAGCTCGAGACACTTTTAAAGACAGAAAGTCAAAATGCCCATTTGTCCAGTGAAAAGAAGAAAAAACATTACGAATTCATCTAACAAATTACCAGTGGAATAAGGGCCATTGGTCCTTGAAATATTTTCATCTCTCATTTCGTATTAATGCTTTCAAAATAAATATGGCAGACTCGCCCTCTGTGTTTCCCGAAACGAATTGCATAACTCAGTAACGGGGACGAAGCATAATTGTCCAAAAGTGAAATTAAAGAGATGTAAGAGGGGGTGGGGTATTTGTGTTATCAGCGTGTTATATACATTATTTATTTTTGGCGTATCATTAGGACTTATTTGTTAAAAAATAATTTTACCTAAAAATATTCAAAATTTCTCCAGAAAATGATTTGTATGTTTTTCTTTTTACTAAACAAAAATTGAGTTATCATTGCGTAGGCCTATTAGAAGGTTATTTTGGATATTGAACACGTGAATCTGTTATAGTTCATTAATAAAAATCAAGTTTGGAACTAAATGTTCGAAAGTTAAAATGAGTGAATGATTGAAATATGGACAACAAGCCTAATATCATATCTGAAGAGAAGAAATACCTTTTTGAATCGAACCTTACATTTATAGATTTCACCTAATTAAACCACTAGAGCTTACTCATCTTGCTTTTGGTGTTTTGAAGTTTTCCCGCCTCAAAAAATGACGCTATTTGACAATAAATCATCCTTAAAGGTGCTTTCTTTTTCAAATTTAGAATGTTTCTAAAACCTGAACTTAAGCAACATTAATATAACCATTAGGCCTACGTTAACCTTGTATAAACAGGTAAATATTTTCTAAAACGAGATTAAATTATGATATTATCTCATTAGCAGAATAATACTTCTCCCAAAACCATCAGATATATCATTTTCACATGAATACATAATAGTGTTCTCCTTCAAATTCTCATGAAGGCTTGTTTCTTTCATTTTCTTTTGAATATTGACAAAAATTTGTTCTCGTCGGGTAGTTAGTTGCAGCTTGTACGAGTCTACAGCCCCGCCATCTATCGCCCAATTCAAGAAGCAGAATCCAAAAATGAAACAGGACGACTGATGCTGGAGTTGTATTGTAAACAGTTTAGGTTTATCTAGACCTCTTAAGGTTGGTAGGATCTTATAATAAGCTCAGTGTGTATGTGACATATGTAACCAATTCATGGACAGATTTTGCCCAGCTGGTAAACAACAGGTCACTTAAAAGGACATGTTTCAAGTTTCAATCAAAGGCAAAGCGATGAAGAACGTTAATTTACTAAACACACTGTAATAAACCAAATGTACATTTGTGCTGCAGCTACCGAATTAAATGCCCACAGAGCCGAAGTAGGTGTAAATAAACAATTTGTTTATGCACTTCATTGATTAACTGCAAACTGCAAACCGGCTGATAGGAGGACGTGTCTGGCTGAAGCCTTGAAGGTCAAATTGCATTGTACTGTACTGTACTGTACATTTCAAATTATCAAATGGCCTAGTTAATGTACCTTTTCTTGGCCTCATCTGTACCTCACTGATAGAATNCCCATTCTAGCTGGGTTCACTGGGCAGGGGCTCCTAGTGCTCAATTCGTGACCTAAATTACGATAAAGATAGGGATAATAGATAGGCAACAAATCTAAAAAAAGATGAATTAGACTAGCTAGGTTCAGGCTAATTAAAAAATTACAGTTGCATATTATTCTCACGTTTCATAATACCTTCGCCTGCCTTGATGAAGAGTTTTGTAAACATTTTTGTATGCCTAAACTACAGAAAACGTAAACATAGTTATCAGGTCCTAAGTCTTAATATACGTGAGAACATCGTCACTTGTTAAAACTGATACTAGGGGAGCTGATTAAATTGCCCATCCTTCGAAGAACAAATTAAGACAGCTGAAAATATATAGGCCCTACTGTAACGCCTTTAAAGTATCTTGTTATCGTGAAAGCTGTTTAAACAAATTTTGACTTAAACTTATTTTCTAGAATGGTCAATTTCAGATAATCAACTGAATTCGAAATTGGTACCCGAATAATTCTTAGAATATAATATAATATAGGAGGAAATAAAGGTTACTATATTTTTTCTTCTCTTGGAGTTATATTATTGGTATCTCATAGTGCTTTCTTCAAAACCTTTAGGTGAGCAATAGCTCGAGCCACTTTTAAAGACAGAAAGTCAAAATGCCCATTTGTCCAGTGAAAAGAAGAAAAAACATTACGAATTCATCTAACAAATTACCAGTGGAATAAGGGCCATTGGTCCTTGAAATATTTTCATCTCTCATTTCGTATTAATATGGCAGACTCGCCCTCTGTGTTTCCCGAAACGAGTTGCATAACTCGGTAACGGGGACGAAGCATAATTGTCCAAAAGTGAAATTAAAGTGATGTAAGAGGGGGTGGGGGTATTTGTGTTATCAGTGTGTTATATACATTATTTATTTTTGGCGTATCATAAGTACTTATTTGTTAAAAAATAATTCTACCTAAAAATATACAAATTTTCTCCAGAAAATGATTTGTATGTTTTTCTTTTTACTAAACAAAAATTGAGTTATCATTGCGTATTAGAAGGTTATTTTGAATATCGAACACGTGAATCTGTTATATTTCATTAATAAAAATCAAGTTTGGAACTAAATGTTCGAAAGTTAAAATGAATGAATGATTGAAATATGGACAACAGGCCTAATATCATATCTGAAGAGAAGAAATACCTTTTTGAATCGAACCTTACATTTATAGATTTCACCTAATTAAACCACTAGAGCTTACTCATCTTGCTTTTGGTGTTTTGAAGTTTCCCCGCCTCAAAGAAATGACGCTATTTGACAATAAATCATCCTAAAAGGTGCTTTCTTTTTCAAATTTAGAATGTTTATAAAACATAAACTTAAGCAACATTAATATAACCATTACGTTAACCAAGAAGTTATAACTTCTTGCGTTAACCTTCTATAAACATGTAAATATTTTCTAAAACGAGATTAAATTATGATATTATCTCATTAGCAGAATAATTCTTCTCCCAAAACCATCAGATATATCATTTTCACATGAATACATAATAGTGTTCTCCTTCAAATTCTCATGAAGGCTTGTTTCTTTCATTTTCTTTTGAATATTGACAAAAACTTGTTCTCGTCGGGTAGTTAGTTGCAGCTTGGACGAGTCTACAGCCCCGCCATCTATCGCCGAATTCAAGAAGCAGAATCCAAAAATGAAACAGAACGACTGATGCTGGAGTTGTCTTGTAAACAGTTTAGGTTTATCTAGACCTCTTAAGGTTGGTAGAATCTTATAATAAGCTCAGTGTGTATGTGACATATGTAACCAATTCGTGGACAGGTTTTTCCCAGCTGGTAAGCAGCAGGTCACTTAAAAGGACATGTTTCAAGTTTCAATCAAAGCGATGAAGAACGTTCATTTACTAAACACACTGTAATAAACCAAATGTACATTTGTGCTGCAGCTACCGAATTAAATGCCCACAGAGCCGAAGTAGGTGTAAATAAACAATGTGTTTATGCACTTCATTGATTAACTGCAAACTGCAAACCGGCTGATAGGAGGACGTGTCTGGCTGAAGCCTTGAAGGTCAAATTGCATTGTGCTGTACTGTACTGTACATTTCAAATTATCAATGGCCTAGTTAATGTACCTTTTCTTGGCCTCATCTGTACCTCACTGATAGAGTGGGAGTCTCTCAGTTTTTATATTTTACCTGAAGAGAGTCTCTGGACATAAATTGTATATTTTTATGCTATTTTAATTGACCTTACAGGTGAGGTACACCAACCCCCAACCAAGTGAATCTCAAACTTGAAGCCAGTGGATGCGATTTATTAAAACAATGGAGGCCCTGTTAAAGAAGGAACTAAACACTAATACCTGGAAGCCACATGGAAGAGCTGGAGGGGGATGTATCAGCCGTGGTGAGGGGTTTCTCACTGACCTTGGACCAGTGTTTGTAAAAGTGAATGGTGAGAAAGGGGTAGGCAGACTTCACAGTTCCACCATTAATCCCTGTAGATTTTTCACATTTAAAGCACAAATACAATGTCATTAATACATGCACTTGTATGTTCTTACCTAACACAGCTGTTACATTTAAAGTATATCTTTTATTAGCTGCTTTTAATCTGTTAAAGAACGGTAAAACCTGAATAAGTATATATATATGTCAATTATGTTTTGAAATGTTCTCCTCTGTCTACAAACTTGTACAGAAGTGTACACAATGAACACTGCTTATATGTGTTAATTTCAAACACAGGCGCGTCAGATGTTTGAAGGAGAATTTGCGAGCTTAGATGCCATCCACAAAACCCAAACCATCAGGGTGCCAAAGCCTATCAAGGTAACATTAGATATGAAAGACATAATATTGCATTTCTTTCAATTTACTGTATAACACATGGTTAAAAATATTAAAATTTAAAAAAAAAAATGACTAAATGATAAATTATTTTTTCCAGGTTATTGATAACCCAGCTGGAGGTGCATACTTAGTAATGGAATACATGGACATGAAGAATTCTGGGAAGTTCGCTGCTGAACTTGGTGAAAAGTTAGCCAGGTATCAGTTTATGAGATCATTTTGAAGAACTATAAATTATTGAGATCATAAGCAGTTTTATAAATAATCATTGCCAGTCAACAGACAGTGAATCACCAGATATTGTAGATGTACATTTAAATCGAATTATGTAAATCTTGAGTGATTTTAGAGAAAAGGGGTGTCAGCTGTCTTCAGATTCACTTTTGACTATTAATTTTTTCAAAGCTCAACTTAATTTTTAAGATATATTTGGATTTATTATTATTAATGAATATTTATAGACTCCATTTGTACAATGAAGAAGTTGCGAAGAAATTACAGAGACAGGAAAGCTCAGTCCACCAATCCACAGGTCCCAAATATGTTGACATGTTTGGCTTTGATATCACAACTTGTTGTGGCTACAATCCACAAGACAACACATGGAATGCAGACTGGGTGGTAAGAAAAATAGATGATGTCCTTGTAGTAACAGTTCAGCAGAAATGGTTCAATTACTGATCTGAAAGTAAAATGATTAACAAGTACATATAGAATATATTTCAACTATCAATAATCAGATCACTCAAATAATAAAAATTATGTTATCTTCAAACCATGATTGTTTTTCAAAGTAGTTCCAGTCATAAGATAATCACAGTCACTGTGACTGTGCCTTTGTTGGAGAGATGTTTCATTTTGTGGGATATTAAATTATTAAATAATCACATTGTTACTCAAAACTGATGTAAAGCTGTATTCACATTACATGCATGTTACATGTCATGTAAACTGATATTTAGGGCCTGTAAAATTCTAATTTCAGTCATTTTTTACAAATCAGAAGTTGAAGCCACAAATAGAAATGATTGAGAAAGAGGTAAATTGTCATGCAGTGCAGTCTTTAAAATATCCCTTTTTAAAAAGATAAATCTTTAAGTGATATATACTCTGTTGCAAAATTTGATTGCAAGAAAAACTATTACCATTCACTCCTTTTTAAAAGATTATTCTAAACCTTAAAGTCATAGATTCAGTCTGTATACCACCTTATGAATATCACTACAAAGTTGATTAATCAGTATAACGTTTCTTGCCTGGTAGTACAGGGACAAAGAAATGAGGGAACTATGGCCTCAGCTTCAGAGAAAAATCCCAGAGCTTTTCAAAGACATTGAGGTTAAACCAGCCTTGTTGCATGGTGATTTGTGGGGAGGAAATGTATCTGAGACAGATGATGGCCCATGTGAGTTGGGCTTTGTGACTTAGGTCACATTTTTAAATGCTGCCTGTCAAATCCAGTTGTGATAGGTTTACTTAATATTTTCTGAATTATCTCAGCAGTGATGAAAGATTTTGCATGGATGACATCGGTCAACATGGATCATCCCAACTCTCTGGGGACTCTGGCTAAGTGCAGTCAGTTTGACTGAATTGCACTCTTCCTCTTGTTTTCAAGGTACTCATCAAATTTTTAGCTTTTGTGCATACCACTAAACACCTGGGCCCAGTTTTATAAAGGACGTTTAGCACTAACCAGTGGATAAGCCTAACCAGTAAATAAATTCTCCTAACACCCATTAACTAAAAGATGGTTAAATTGTGTTTCATATACAGTCTTCTGACGGAAAACAACCAATTAGTTAACTGGCCAGTGTTTAACTGGATTAAATAATTATTTAAAGGTCAGTTAACTAACAGACTGTTAAGGTCTGGTTAGAGTTAAACACTGGTTAGTGCTAAACGTCCTTTATAAAACTGGGCCCAGGTGTTTAGTGGTATGCACAAAAGCTAAAAATTTGATGAGTACCTTGAAAATGTATGTGAATCCCTCCTTTTTTTAGATATTGTAATCACATTGTCTGCTTGGATAGTTTGCACTCAGCTGAGATGTAACTTGTTAATGTCAAACAGGTGATAGCAATTGTGGATAATAAATTTCAGTTGAGTTTTGCAAAAAATGTCCAGTTTAAAGTTTTGTTATTCATATATTTTGGACCAAGAGTACAATGGACTCTATTTTCAAATTATATATATATATATAATTATATATATATATATATACGTCACAGGCAAGATAGAAATCCAGGCAGATTTTAAATCTGCCTGGATTTTAATCTTGCCTGTGTCATATATGAGTATAATATTTCAGAATTTTTTATGTCATTGTGATTTGAAGGAGTAAAGATTCGATACATGAAGATGCAGCCTTTTTTATAGTTTCTTTTTTTTTTCACTTTGCAGTGATATTTGACCCAGCATCTTTTTATGGACATGCAGAGTTTGAATTTGGCATAGCTACTATGTTTGGTGGATTTGGCAGAACTTTTTTCGATGCATATCACAAGCTTATCCCCAAATCACCTGGTTTTGAGAAAAGACTACCCCTTTACCAGCTCTTTCATTATCTGAATCATTGGTAAGTGTGATGTTTAAAAGTTAGCATTTTAGTGGATATACAAGATATTTATATTTAAAAAAATGATGAAACCCTGTGCAAGGTTTATGAAATTGGAGCAGTTCTCCTGTGTCCACATTCAGGAAAACAAATAGATTACAAGATGATACAAGTGTCTTACCCTACCCACCGTCTTGACTTCTTCAGCATATGTTATTAGTTTAGCAAACTTCAGAAGATGATTATGATTGATCTCAAAATGAAAGCACAACTAGACAATCTCTGGACCACCAGGATATTTTGTTAACCTTATAATAATGTTTGAATCAAGTTTGAGATTTGAATCTTTTCATTCAGGAACCACTTTGGTACTGGATACAGGAGTCAGTCTTTGAGCCGAATGAGAGGACTCGCAAAGTAAAATACTTCTCAGCAGTTTAGAACATACGTACTTGGAAAAAATGAATAAGACACTACCATATTTGATACTGGTAGTTGTCTGACAGCAGAATATCAGCTTTATCTGTGAAACATTCAACAGCGGAAAACATTGGTGCTAAACAAGTATGTGCATATTATTTCTCTGTAGTCTGACAGGAGGATTTAAGCTTTATCTGTGAAACATTCTACAGTGAAAAAAAAAAACATTGGTGCTAAACATTGTAGTAAATAATTTACCAGCTTATTTTCTTCTTCCAATCTTGTACTTTAATTGAAGTGCATTTGCAAATGCTTGGCAAGGAGAAAGAATTTTAATGTTAAAACAGAAATTCTGAGTAATTAAGCTTGTAACATATTGTACATTTGGACTTTAAAATCTTCAGTAGAATTCATTTTGTTCAAAAAGTGGATGAATTTCACTTATATCTTGGCCTGGAGATTTCCTAAAAGCAGATTACATGTAACATACACTGAATTAAGTGAATTAGATGGATAACACATTATGTTACATCTGTCTAAGAAATCAGTTTAATGATTTTAAGATTTTCAGTAGAGAATTCAAAATGTGTTTATAATGATTGATATTTGATTAGAATGAATATAAAATGACTAGTCTACTTAGGGCAGACATTGCTTCCACATAGGATTTATACAAGTCCAATTTATGACCTGTTAGTTTTTGGAATCGAAAAGTGTTTGAAAGAAGTTTTGTAAACCTGGTTTTTACTCCATATGGGCTTTGCACTTGACATCAGAATGATATTAAGATATTTTATTTCGTTTATTGGCATGTTTTATCATACACCGGGATACTACAATTAAGTTTTGAAAAAGCTGTCACACAGTAACTGGCTTATTTTAACAAGTGCCTTTTATGTTATTGTATGCTTGATCAGGACAGACTGATTATGCTGATGACATTTGTTGTAATAAGACTTGATTTGAATTTGAATTTAAATATCACATTAAGTGTGATACTCTCATGTAAAGATCTTCCTTTATTTTGTTTCTAATGTATTAGAGTGCATTATGTGTCTACAGATAAAAGTGTTATTAGTTTGTTAGCTACTACTTTACAACATTTGAGGAATAAATTGCTATCTCTATTACAAAGAAAATTTCAACTGCTGCTTTTAAATGGATAAAAAATCTGTGATTGATTTTCTTCCCGAAGGTTTTTCATGGAAAATTGAAGTGGGGAAAGTAATCTCTTTTAGAAATGCTCTACATTTGTTACATAGAAATTTTTTAAACATAGAGTAGGCTGATTTAAAATAATCATTTTTCTTCTACTTGTTTCTTATATATCAGAACTTCTTAACTAATCACTTGATGTGTCAACATTTTGATATGAAATTGTTAAAAATAATAAATGACCAGGTTATGGTCTCTTTGGGGATATATGGAGCTGTTATATTAAATTTGTTTAAATATACTGGACCGATTTTGATGGGGTTTTGTGGATGCGCTGTGGTAGAATAGTATCATGTTCTAAAGGCAGTTTTTGTTGTTTTTAGGTTTATTAACCAAGTTGATTAACCAATCAAGGTGACAGCCAAGTGTGGTTTTCCCCCATGATACTGTCTCCAGTGCCAAAATGACCAAATTGACCCTATCTCACAATGGTGAAAAATCTTCAAAAAATCCCTGAATTCAGATGGTGATCTGTATCACCATTAAAGCCTACAATCACTTTTAAGTTAGGCCATTTCTGTCCTGAAAATTAATCAAAACCCATGCATCCATAACTTTTTGAGTTAGACTTGTGACTAACAAACAGAGGTATAAATAACCTTTTTGGCAGAGCTTATCCCCAAATCACCTGGTTTTGAGAAAAGACTGCCCCTTTATCAGCTGTTTCATTATCTGATTCATTAGTGAGTTTGACATTTATAAGATGCAAACATTATAGCATATAAGTTACCATATAATTTCCCTGATGCATTAACTTCTGCCAGTTTTGTTCTTTAATTGAAGTATACTTGCAAATGCTTGGTAAGGAGATAGAATTAAAAAGATATTCTAAACAATAAACCTTCTGTAACTGTTGTACTGTTGGAAGATAAAATCTTCAGGAGTAAGAATTTTGTTCAATAGGTGGATGATATTCACTTTTACATCATTTTCACTAAAAATTTTTACCGTTTTTGAACGACTGATAAAAAAATCCAAAATTTCATTTGACTTTAAAGTTTTTCAACAATTGAGAGAATTGAACAAATGGAAGTGAAAAATTCATTTCTTTCAGAAGTGCCCTTCATTGAGGCATTTCTAAGACATTTCTCAAGATTATTTTCTGTGGCTTATTGCCATTTGAATTTATTGCAAATTCAATGCAGTACTGTAATGTGCCAAGCATTTCGACTGTTCCAATCTATCCGACAAGAAAAAAATTATATTCTAAAATTAATTTTTCTGGGTTCAAACATTTAGTCCAAACGTCAAAATCATGTGACATAATTTTTTTCTTGTTCCGATTATTCAACCACATCGTCGGCAAGACTTGGTAAATTTTCGAGCCTGTAACATATTTTGTGCATCATTATTTTCTGCTTTTTATCTCTACACTTGACAGCTTTACAGCCTTGTTTTGTTTTCATTTTTTAACATTTTACTCAAATGACATGCTTTTCAAGCAAATTCACTATTCACTGTTTAATATATCTGTACACAATTGGCATTCCCAATTGAGGATCCATGTTTTACTTTAATGGTAAATATACACATACCTATAGGCTCTGCTTAACTGCATGGTAGAGGAGTTAACCACAGGTAGGCTAAAAATAAGTGAAATGTGAAAATAATACTAAGTATATATATTGTAGCACACAATTCAGATTGCATTTGCCTATCATTATGTTTGTGTGTGTGTGTTGGGAATATGTATAAGGAGGCAGATTTAAAGACTGCAGTGACTATAAGAAGTTACTTGGAGACATCGAAAAAGAGGCAAGACAAAATTGTCTGCTGTTATTAAGAAAAAATTCCAGACCTTGTTTTTTGTGATACGGAAGTGACCCCATCCTACATACTGTAGCAAGTAAGTAACACAAGGTTTTGTGATGTTGTCTCACAAAGGAATTGAGTTAGTGCCGGTACAAAAGGCCTCTAGCCAGTTATTTCAAAAGTTTTTATTTATTTATTTATTATTATTATAATTATTATAGGCTGCATTCAGAAGAGTCCGAGGGTCAAACGTGGCTGACTTAATTGAATACTTCCTCCATGAGGAATCTATTCAGTGTCTATTAACGGATTAGACAGCAAGCTTTTTAGTGGGTTGCCATATTTGACCCGTAGACTAGTTAGTCCACTGTTCTGAATGTGGCCACAAACTGCATTGTAAATGCAACCATTTCAGTGTAATTATAATTTAATTAAAGTAGATAAAATGCACGTTCTTATGTGATTGACTGTGAATGATGGCTTGATAAATTTTGAGATGCTGTTTTAAACCTCCCTTTATAGATTTTAATTATCAATTACCAATTGACATTTTATTGAAAACATTATTGCTATGATTGATATGCATAGATAGATAGGTATTTTGTTTGGTCTTTGTGCACACCATCTTCTACAATAATTTTTTCAGTAAGGTATTTGTGCTAGTTTCAAAATCGATCATTTAAGCCACAAATTTACAAAATCTTTACCAAGATATGCCTGTGTGACTCTAAGGAATTCAAAATCAAATTAATTGACCAAATGCCAAATGCTTCTTTCAAATCTCAATACTTTTTTTCTGTAAACAGGGTAATTATGGCCACAGTACATATGAATGGCCAAATGGTATGAGGTTCAAATAGTCTCTCCACTTAATACTGAAGAAATATGGATTTAATTATGGTTGTATTTTATTTAGTATGTATTAATCAAAGGTCTGTAATTCCCAAGTAGATTTGCATGCACATTTAGAAAAGAACAGATCTACCGATTATAGAGATCATTACTTTTATTCTATCACATTCACATTTCATAAGTCCAGACTTAAAAATACAGGATATGTACAAAAGCAAAATTACATTGTCTGTCTTAAAACTTATACTAAACTACCTTAGCTAGATCAGATGAGCAACTAATATGTAATATGGCATGTGCAAATGTCAATACTATTAATTGACGAAATGATAATATAAAACTAGGTAGAAGATGTAAAAAATGGTACAAAAACATCACTGACATTTAAACAGTTTACAGTTGTGCATCTGAGAAAACCACAGACATTTTCACAACATCTGACATGTGGGAACAATAAAAAATCATCTTTGATCCCTTGTCTAAGTTTAAGTTCGACATGATCTTGGTTACAGCTAGTGTGGCCAGTTTGTTCCCTCCCAAGTAGGTCACCTAGTAGAATTTTTAAGTGAACTCTCATGTTATTAAGAAGGGAATATGAAATCATTATTATCCTTTTGTGCTATAAAGCTCCCACATGCCCGCAGGTATACTTCAACAACTATTTGCTGAGGGCAAACATGTACTCCTTTTCCCACCAGGTGTTCCACATATGACCTGAATTACTCTATTTTACAATCTAGAAGGAACAGCCATTTCATTATGCACAGTTACTGTACTTAATATAAGCAATCACAAGCTAGTTTTTCTCAAATATATTATTTATTGATTTTCATTATTATTAATTTCAAGGAAACAACAAGAGTTTAATCATAGATGATGATAAAGCTTTCCATGATTATTTAACATGCATTTTTAAATGCAAGTCTACTTGTGCCACCTTGCTTAGTGAAATGGTGGATGAATATTCATGTATCTATGAGTTTACAGGGTTCCATCTCTGTTAATATGAGTATATTTCTCTACATACAAAGGTATGAACAACTGATGACTGACATCATTCAGGTGCTGGTCTTAAGCTGAAATTACCTCTAAGATATCTAAAGATATCTATTAATATAAATGTGACAACATAATATTTATCAGATGCCTTGTGAGATTTTAAAATCTCCCCATTGGTGAAATGAAAAGAATTTACATAAATAATTTTTAAATCACATACTCAGATCTTTCATAATTGTCCTTTTACATTACATGAGATATGAAAGCTTTGCTAGAATGCAGTGGCAATCAAGATGTGATATTCTGTTGGGTCAGCAGAGGCTTTCGAAATGTTAAGTGTATCACTACAATATCGGTTATCTCCTGTGGGCAAAGTATTGATGAAAACATGTTATTTCGATCTAACATAAAGATTAGAATTAACCCTTTCCTACCAGGTCACTGAAGCAAACACATTATTTAATATAATTAATGATTTTCACATGGTGATGACATATGTCAAAACCCAAATGACTAAAAGACATATGAAAAATGTTGTAGGACCCATAACATCCACATTGCATTAAATGGTGGTATACTGCCGAAATGTGTCATTTTCATAATTCATATCTTGATCACTTCACTTAATTTCTTCAATATACACCAATTTTTTTCTAGGGGCTTAGTTTTGTAAAGCTCTTTGCATAGCTTGATTGTACATCTTCAATTTCAATTTAAAAACGTTCCTGACCTGCAGAACTATCTGGAAGCAGTCATATGCTTAGGTAGGTGTATATCCTACAGTTAAAGACAGTTTCCTTGAGACAAGTTGGATCTATTGCTGGAAGGCCTAGTGTGTAATCTAAAGGATTAAAGATGTTCGATTTTAAAGACCAATACTGTCAGTTGGTCAGCTGTAAATTGAATATAAATTAAAACCACAAGCCTTATTGGATGAAAGGGTTCATGTCATATCTATATTACAATGAGAATTTTTAAAAATTACTTTTCATCCTGTTTTGCTTCTCAAATCTATGGCATATCACATATCTACCTCTGACCACCTAAATTGAAAAAAATGGAAAATTCAACTCAGAAAATTATGCAAAGATAGTTGCCTAATAATCTCTAGCTTTTACGCTTCTTTTTTCGAAGCACTTTAATTTCCACTGTTTATATCCAAGCTGATAATGTAATTTGATTTAAAGTACTGCAGTCTGTCAAGACCGTACGTGTTTAGGTGGGAGTTGATGTCTTGAAAAGTTTCTCTGGCAATTATGAACCTTTGAATAACTTATTCCCATGTAAATGGATTAGCATTTCCTCCATGTTTTCAAGTTGAACTACAGCTCAAAGTATTGATCAGCCTTGATGGCTTAACCTTAACATTACAGTCACGAGTAGAAGAACAAGTTGTAGATGAGAATGTGGAAGGAACTGATAGCCTGATGATGTCTGTCCATTTGGTGCTGCAAAAAATATAATAACTGTGTGTTAAAAACAAATTTGAATTGATATCATGTGATATGAGCATAGATAGATTTGTTTCAGTATAAACTGTTTAATGTCAACTCCAATTTTGAACAGCAAATTCAATTTGGTTTTTTACCTAACTCGATTTTCTTGAGATAAGAGAAGTAATTTCCTCTGAAGGGTAACTATATTGAATTCGGTGCTGTTCAAGGTTCAATCCATTACAGTAACAACCATCGAAGTGCTTTTTTTTCAATGCTGAATTCTGCCCAAGTAAGTGTAAACTTTATTTTATGTGATTCTCACAAGTGGTGGGTCTTAATGGTAGCTCTAATGGAACACTGCAGTACACACTCTGTGACTAAAGCAGAGGTTAACTTGCTCACTCTCATGGGTACATCAATCTGGTGGATAGTACATGTAATGTATTGATGGGACTCATTATGACCTCTATTGATTCTTCTCACTTGGATTAAATATGCATGCACTTCTAATTTTGAGTCTACATCTATTGTACCATGCAGGATCTAGTAGGGAAAGGGTCTACTTACTATTACCTTCCAGTATGGATATTCTCCCCATGTCATCTCCTTTTTCATTTTTCACATAAATAGTGTATTCACCAAAATGACTTTTGTCTATTTTGTCAATATTTAGTACAAATTCTGTGATATCACCATTCAGCTGAAATAATTGAAAGATAGAGATGAGAGCAAAGATATATTACAATGTAAAGACTGTATTTTAGAATTTTTTTCTATTTGGACATTTCCTGCCAGTCTCAGATTATCTTCTCATGAAAATGTACCAAGTTGTTTAGGGTTGAGTTCCACATTACAATCAATCTTATTTGCTATCAACTCACTTTTTTTTGGCCACCAATGATTTCTGCCTGCATTTCGCACCTTAGTTGTGAATAAGCTTTCTGTGTTAAAAAGATTTAATGAATACTAAAGATTTAATGAACTTTTGCACCAGAAAGTTGGAAATTGAAAAGAACTGAAGGCCCATTTTTAAATTGTTTGATTAATAAGCATTTTATCCTACAGAAAAAAACGCTCATTAATCAGAAGGTAAAAAAGAAGGGGTGCTCATCTATAAGGTTAGATTTGATTACATAGGGCTTCTTGCGGACGAACTGATTGCCAAGATTTGAGACAGCCAGGTGTTTTTCCAGTGCTTTTCTGACATTTTGGAAAAGTAAAAAATTGTGAAGAAAAACACCAATCTAAACAAGGGGGTCTGGAACGTGGCCTTGCAGTGTAAAGTGTGCACCGGATAATGAGCAGCCCACAGTACCGTTTTTTTTACTTACGTTTTTTGTTGCCACCAACCCATTTTTCATTTCTTGTGCTCCTACTGTCTCTCCATCAGTTGGCAAGGACCAGTATATTTCGGTAGGGTTTGGATTAGCCGTCATACGACAAACAACTTTCATTCCGCTGTCTCCTCTTATTGCTTGTTTGTCGGATTCGCAGTTTACTTTTGGGGGAACTGCAATTAGAAAGTCGATTGTATTGTGTATAATTGCTTTTGCCATCTGTTGGTCCCAACAATTACCGAGCGAATAAGATGGGAGTTAATTAGAAATGATTCATTTCATCCAAAAATTCAATGGTAATCAGTATGGTTTTTTAAATGGCAAAATTTAATGAAATTTCTCTTCAAAAATAGCAAACGAAGTCATTTTACAGAACCTTTTTTTACAATCGAAAATCGGGCCTCCACGCATTTAAAAGAAAAATCTTACATTTAACGTCCAGCTCAATATAATACGTTTGCACAGGAAACCTTTCCACTGTTGCTTTACATGCCAGACGTTTTCCGTTGTCCCTACGGTTGATAGGGTACGTTGGGTTGCTAATAGTCGCAGTGTACGTGGATCCTGTCAAACCTTCATCCTGGAATGCCACTGCGGCCTGGTAAATTGAGAACTGTTTGGTCACGGCGGTTTCGCCCACGTATACCTCTAGGTCAGGCCTTGTCGTGCTGCCCATAGCGGTGCAACTTAGGTCCAGTGTCGTCCCTGCGTCCACTGTAACAGTCTCTCCATTGCTGTACGATGCCATTGTTAAATTTGAGATTGGTGCTAGAATTAGGATTTTTGTTTTATTTAAATAAAGACCACAGAACTTTACGAAACAGTTTTTAACGAACAAAAGAGCCGTACATATTGGAGTATGAAACAAAATACGCAGATCCTTGTAAACCATTCAAGTTCATTGAAGCTTGATAAAATGAAAGTGCACAGAATTAAAACAGAAAAAAAGGTTTAATAATTGCAATAGCAGTAACAGATACCTGTGAAATAACTTTACAGCAAAGTTCTCAGATAAAAATCCGATTTGCCAACCTTTATGTTTCAGTATATTTGAACCTCTTTAAATAGCAGATAAAAGCACCATGTTTTTCTTATCATTTAAGCTATTGATTTTGATAATGCATGTCAATATCATCGGGGTGACCAGGCTTAGCAAATGGTTTCATCTTTCAGCTTCTTAATTACTTCTTAGACTGGCTTTTAAAACACCCTCCCCCCATCTTACATTTCATTGTATGTCGTTGTCTCTTTGCAAGAGAAAAGTTGAAATAGGCCCAAAGTGAACGAAGTTTACTTATGTAGATTAAAATCTGTAGGGGCTGTAGTAAACATGAAAAGTCGCTTAAGTTAAGTTTCTCTTTTTTTTCAGACAGAAGCCAAAGGAATTCTAAACTTACAGTAAGAAGGTTGCACATATATAACGATACAGGACCCTTCCTTGAGGATAACTGGGCCCCGTATCTCGAAAGCATCGCGCATTGCGACCGTGCGCAAGCGTCTCGATTCCATAACTCGCCCATACTCGTCCCATATAATACATTGTAGCCTCTATTTGATATAGCGATTCGCAAAACGCGATGCTTTCGAGATACGGGGCCCTGGTATCTGCACTATACTTACCTAGGACCCTAAGCACTGTTTGTATCACTCTCGGTCCAGCCTTGCAAAAATAACTTCCCGCATCAACGGCCTTGACGCCTACAAAAGATTACTTCTGTGTTTTGATATGACATATATCGTTTTATTTTATTTAATTCTACTCTCCAGGGTAACTAAACCAAGTGAAAAGAAAAGATCCCGATATTTCTGTGATCTAAAATTATTAATAGCAACCATAATAATAATCATTATTATTATTATTATTTTTATTATAGCAATAATAATTATAAATATAAAGAAAGGAATAAAAGAAATATCCCAGTAATAAAAATGAGTCTCTCACCTGATATGTTAAGATAATAGCCTCTGTCGAGAATCCCTTGTAATCCTTCTCCAACTGTTCTATGAACGGAGTATCTGGAGTTAGATACCAGTAAGTCGCCATTAGATGTAATGACGGTTTCGACCCCATCCACTTCTTTAACCCATTTTACTTTAAGATCATAGTCCGTCAGGTCCAGGTTTACAAAACATCGGAGCTGTGCGTCTGCCCCCTCTAACAGACCTGATGTTGCGTCTGGGGAAGTACTGACAGCCACAGTAGTAGCGGCGAAGGTAGCTAAAAATTGAACAAATGATTACATTAGTGGCTTTAAACCGTTGAAGTTATCGGAACATACAAAAACAAAATAAGAAATCAAAAAGCATTTTCAAAATAAAGGGACTTGCACGCATTCATTTGAATGCACATATCTGATCGGACGCTTAATTCGCACGATTTAGTTCGATCTGTGTTAAAGACTGAAAATTTATACATCACCAATAGAATTGCACATCACAAATATTACATTTGCCCCTAAAATAATATCGCAACGAATATTTGAAAAGACTAAACAGTATCATCGGGATCCAAAACATGCCAGAGGTAACATCTTAAGGTGCCTTTATTTTCCCTTTCTTAACTTGAAATTATTGGACATATTCGAGACTTTCCATAAAAACAAGGTCCATCCCATAAAAATAAACTTAATACAACATGTTGACCTTTTGTCCGAATGCCGGGGGCATCCATAGCTTTTTACAGTTGGCATAATTATGGACTTCAGTTAAATATAATCTTGACCCCTGACATGTGGTTTATATACGTGCGATTATTTAAGATCACATGCCATCAGTTTTATTTCTCAGACACTTTAACTATAAAATACTTACCCTATAACATATAATTTCCCAAGAAAAGGATAACATATATCCATACCTATAGTATTAGGCAAGGGTGGACATTTCTAATACAAATTACTCTGTAAGTAGCTCTTGGCGTATAAGCAAATACTTGAAGAGAAACTGAATGCACTAATCAATTCTTTTCCGTATTGTTGGCCAGATCATTAAGTTTCAAATTAAAATTAATGTATATGCTGATCCGATTTGGTAAAATCCAGATTAATTATGCAATACGTTTTCTCGTTCGAAAATGACGGCCAATGTATCTGGAAGGTAAAATTAGGTTTGCTTTGACATACGTGACAGCCCCGGCTTAGAAAGGAACAAAATAGTAATTATTAGATCATTGCCATGTATTAGATGTTTTGATCTCTCTCCATTAATATTATCATCAATGGTTGCATAAAAGAAGTGTTTTTATAAAGTCCTGTCGCGCTTCAAATCTGATTATCAGAATATGAGAACAGAACAATGATGGGTTGCGACTAAAGCCCGGGATCGATCGGTTCCATCTCCAGTTCCATATCTCACAGAAAACATACGTCCAGTTAGGGCACTGTGGCATGAAATGTATGAGAAAATCCAACATGGTATCGTGAATTTTTTAATATGGCGACACTGATGGTGCTTTATAAGTTATCGATGGGGCCGCTATCGAACTACCAGTTTAAGTGGAAGAGAACACGACGCTACATCGAACTCGTCTAAGACAGTTGTCTCGATAACGAAATAGGAATATGGCTATGTTGGATATTTTTTCCATTCAATTATATGTCTGTGGGAAGTACAGCTGTGATGGTGAAAATTAAAGACATTTGAAAATGGAGCACAATAAAAAATAAGATGATCGCCATAAGACCGATATTAGGGCGTGCACAGACGCAGTACTACATTATTTAAACTTTAATTTCAAGTTGCACATAACATATGAAAAGAAATAAAACAATAACAAGAAATGGGCATTCTTTAGTGCTTAGTTTCTCACACATATGCATCCTAAACGATGGAACCTAGCTTGAATCCGCTTCAAATATCTAAATAATAAGTTCTTGTTCGACTGTCAAATCAACTGATGCCACGTGACATGCCCAGTTGCAGTATTTAACATCACATCATACCGTTTAGTTTATAACGAACGACTGGATGAAAAGAAGAGATGCAACTCCAAACAAATATAGAGTAATGTGTTTTCAGTTTGTCAAGCGACAGTAGGAAATCGAGAGGAGGGTAAAAAATGAGATGTTGCCTGATTACCATAGATATATTTATCCTGATGTTAGCTAAGTTGATTAAGGAAATCGCCTGACAGATGTTACTAGGATGTAATCAAAGGGTAGTTGGAGAGAGGGGGTTGGTAATTACCAGGAAACGTCCCTAACTGTCTTGCAGGTTTTACTCAGTAAGTTGTCAATAATCGCGCCATTCACTGTGAAATCCGACTCGGAAATTTTCTAGGATCCCGGAGGATGTGATAAAAGTAGTATGGGATCTTTTGTGAGAGTTTCTTTAGCATAATTCAATACCACCGTCCCAGCGTGCGGTAGTTTTTATCACTTCAGTAAGCACGTTGTTCCAAAGTACACACCGGAGAAACTCTCAAAGTAGTGCCCAATAGACATGACAGCTTTTCAATAGTTCAGGTGCAGGATTTGAAGTGAGATTTTAGATAATGGTTAGCTATAGACAGTTAAAAAATGGGCGACTTTCAATTCATTATCTTGTCGCAACTTCAAACACACCACACTGAGTAGAGTGAAAAAATGCGTATTGCTTTCAATATTTTCGGGATTTAGTGATTCTGTCTAATAAGCCTAACCATAGCAATTAACGTGATTGGAAGAACCAGTCACGGTTTTACTTGGCAATACTAATGCTATCATTACCCGAATGATAAGCCAGGCCAATGGCATACGCTGCAGGAGAGGTTTATCACGAGCGATTCCCTATTGCCGAGTGTGCCATCGTCTGAAAAGAAAAAAAGTCGCACGAACAAGGATATTAAACCATGCAGCCTAGTATATGCCCGGTGGATTTTTTCAAGGAACGCAGTGCACCATTTATATTTTTTATTGCAAAAGAGCCGGTCATACCGATACAATTTGACCCACCATTGTTCTGTCTAATTCCTTCCTCGATTTACCTCGCGGTTATCTTCCACCGATCCAAGGATCGATAAAATCTAATTTGTAACTGGCGGAATCGCGGCTATATGCTCCCTTAAGGATGATAAAAACGGGACATAAGCCGTCAAGGTTTTCGAAAATGACACTTTAATCTCTCCAACAAGTGTATCGTCTTATATAAATCAAACCATATTTTATAGCATTGACAAATTGATTTCATGGTGAATTAAAGATAAAACCCACCGTGTTATTTTATAGTAATTCGATTGCGGGAATACAATCCCGTGGGCTGTTTCCCCCCCTTGAGTAGTGGGTTCTTCTATCTTTAACTGTAAATCATATTCCAGAAAATTCCAAAGGCTTAGAATTTGAGATACAGTTTAAAAAGAAAATAACGGAGAAATTCGGGGAGGTTTGAAATGAACGCTGTGTCAAAAGGCAGTTGTTAATTTTCCTAATATTTTATGTCAATGGTGATTCATGTAACAGATCATTCAAAGCTTGTTATTGTTTGCAAATATTTACTTCTACATGAGCAAGCTTTTTGAGTGAATCACAAAGGCCTAGCGGTACATATAGCTAGATAGCGAATGGCCTTCTTTTAAATTTAAAAGGGTAACGTAAGTTTGTCCACCTGAGTTTAAAGTGATTTCTTTTTATATCAACATAGTAATAAAAGTGTTAAACGACTACTCATTACCAATGGTATCAACCCAAGGCTCTTTCGTTTTCGACCGCAGACATGTACACCAACACATTTATCATGAGGAATGGGTTCTTATTCACTTTGAACTTGGAAATAAACCCCTTCTCATACAAACATGTATGCGCGCCGTGCTACATAGCAAGTACAAATATGTAACAATCACAACATTCCCTCGGAGTAACCGTGTCGATTAATATGTAGGGCCTACTATTACCAAAATAAATATTCTTTGATGACAGAAATACTTTTGGACATGATTCAGACATGCGCGAATAGCTCAAAATTAATGTCAATACCGTGTCTCAGAAGTTTACATTAGCTCACCCCATTGTTTACCTTGAGATAACCTTATGAAGAGCTCATTTTTGGCCCGGTAAAACATGCAGCCCTCCAAAAAAACTATTATTTTCATAACGACCTAAAATGGGCGTCGATATTTTGCTAAGTTGAGGAGAAGCTCTTGGCAGTAATCAAAAGATAGAGACGAAGCTAAAGTAGTTTACACAAGTAACTGAGGAATCTTAAACTTGGCATTTATGTGGTAGATAAGTTGCATCTGGCTAATTAAGCCCGGTGACATCTACGACATAGTTAACGACAACAAAAGAAAGCCAGCCAAATAATGTTAATTAACCTCCGAGGTGCAACAAGCATGACAGAAGAACGCCGTGCCAGGCTCTAAACCTGCCATAAGCCCCACACCTAAGTCTTATGGGAATCGGTCAATATTTTATTAATACAATACTTATGATATAGGTATTCAAATATCATACAAAACGCAAAAAGAAATTGATTTAAGGTACTTGGTTAACGCATGTCCCGCGACCTTTTTGTTTCTTTTAATCATAAACAAGACCGTGCTTTCGATAGGTAAGTGAAGTCCCAGATCGATTTATTCACACCTGGAGGAACCTTAAATCTGCAGCTAATATTCGACAGTTGTATATGGTTTACAAACACTACACCCAAGCAAATACTTCAACTCAGAGTTCCCTGTCGACATTCACTGGCGAAACTCCAGTTTCCTCTTGGATGATTGAATGGTTAAATACTTTATTTGAAAATACCTGGCTCTTCACATTCATGTTCGTTTACATGCCTTTAGCACAAACGTATGGAACCCATTAAAACATCAAAACCAAGTGAAATCACCAAGTTTATGCCACTTTTTGTCATTAAATATCTTCAAGGGCCACGCTATCAGTAGAAGATTGACCCCTTGCTGTCATCAATCATGTAATTACATCGTTATTCTAGTATCTTAAACTGCGATGTGTCCCTAAATTCATTGGTGTAAACTTACCTGTGATGAGGGAGAGGAAAGTGGCGAGAAGCGTTGCTGCGGTGAGCATGGTTCTAAGTTCTGGTTTCAGTTTCAGCTGTACCTTCTTAACTATAGTCCGTGTTGTGTCCCCGTTGTCCTGTGGGTTAAATGTTAATCTAAGTCCACCAGCATGGAGTGCCCGTTAATCGCACTCTAAATGTCACAACCAATCAACACCAACCGTTAATTTAGACAGGTGGGGCTCTGGTCGATCGTGACGTCACTCAGGTGTTCGTTTGTTCGCGCCGTTTGTTTGCTTTGTAAAACAACAATATTCAGTTAGCAAGAAAGCAGAGGAAAATATATTATTGTTGTCCCACATAAATGATCTCAACAGATCACAAATGCAATAAGACTTGCAGTCTTTTCATAACGTATTCTAACGCTATGGGTCTGCTTTGATCATATTAAACATCCGCAGTTTGTCTTGCTCTTTTCAAACGCGTAGTGTATACCTAAAAAATAAATCCAAATGATAAAGTGATGTATGTCCATCGTTTTATATCGCATTATTCCCCTGATAAGCAGCAAATTAGGCTTCAAACGAGGCCCTCTGGATTATGCTAATAATAGAACAGCGGCGCCCCAAATTGACACCATTTTACACATGGTTTTATGCGAATACTATTTTAGGAATACAGCTCGAGAGCAGAAGAGGAGAAACGCAATTTTTCGCATGTTAGGTGGATTTCTTTTGATATCTAAAGATGATAAATCGCTTTTCATCTATTTTTGTTAAGTTTATTGATGCTGACATCTAAGTAGGCTTCTGCCAACACTGAACTGATGTATCTACACTCAAGAGTGAATTGAAACGCTTTGAATCCCTTATCGACCCAGAACATCAAATTTAACCAGCATTTTTGTCGATTGTTAAAGTAAAGCTCAGTAACCTCTAAGAAAATCGGGTTTCGGAACTTAATATCCGAATGCTGTCGCCCGAGGCATCGAAATATACGAATCATGACTTACGCAGCATTAGATCATTCCCCTGGTTTAAGAAGCATCCTGATGCTAGTACTATGCGGCGTACTGCTCACGGTCCACTATGTTTTCTAGCCAAGTTTTCTTCTCATGACCGATGATATTGATTAACTTTCTTTTAACCGCTGATTCACTCCCATGTGGATCATCCAGGATGCAGAACTTCACTGTTATTAAGCGCGACTCTTACCACACTGTTACGAGATACTGAGGATTGGAAAGGTAAAATGGTCTTTAGCACTGGCTTCCGGACGCATTTGCTTTGAGTAACCTAGTGTGCTTACGTAGTGAATCCTGGAATTTGGAAGATGTTTAATTTATCTAACCAGTTCACGTTATGGAGTTTCTTTCCTGTTTTTTAGGCAGCCGTTTTAAGCAGGTTAATTGAAGCATAACACACCTGTCTGGTTTATGTTCCGCTGAGGAAAGAGGGTGCACATGATAATAGCTAGTGATAATCCAAACACAAAAATAAATAAAAAATTATTAAATTAATAAAAAAAGTATACATTAATATAAAAAGGATATGTGTGTCATGAATTATATAAACAAAATTAGCCAAAATGCTACATATATCAGGGTCAAACTCCAGCTTTTAAAACATATTGAATTTACATCTACACATCTAGCTGATTGTGATGTCGAGGTGATCAAGATGTGATTTTACTTCCCTGGACTTTTTTAAAGCTTCCTATAATCAGAAATCGGACAAATTATTTGCCCGATTTACCCCTACTGTGGTGTATACTGGTACATAAATGCATGTGTAGTAAGAGATCGTCCATTTTTATTAGGCCCTATCATTTTCACAAGTCTACAAAGTGTAGGCTTCTTCCATACCCCCCCCCCCCCGCTTCAGAGAGTACAAAGATGACCTTTGACAGCAATTTGGATAATCATTTTTATCATTTTTTAAAATCGCACTCCCCCCCTCCCACACACACACACACACAGCGTACGTGTAAGGTTTGTGGGCTTGTGAAAATTTGAAAAAATGGATCAACCCTAACTGCACGAGTCATAATGACCATTCAGTGCAATGGCGAGAACCAATGGCGGATTTGGGGGGGGGGGGGGGTCAGGGGAACCTGCCCCCCCCCCCCCCGCCGGTTCGGGAAAAATATAC